AATTTAATCTACAGAACAACCTATTTGGAAAAGAAACGAAAACACAGTGACTTCCTTTAGAAATGAACAAATGATTTTCTGACACTGTGGTGTACAGTAACTGTTGCAGAAACTACATTGGTCAGCAATGGAATTAAGGCTTAGCAAAAGCAATGTGTCTCTCGCACTTACCTCTCATGAGATTGTACATGTTCAGGTAGTTTGTTCCTGAGTCTAAAATGGCATACCAGCTCCGAGAGATAGACCGGCCCTGAGGACAGATTGAATGTTTCCATTAGGATTTTGTCATTATTATTGTCAGGACATTCCCAAGACACTAGAAACACAGCATTATAAGTAGAGTGTGTGCTTTAAGAAAGGTCATGTCACCTGAACATCACAGGCGTGTGTGTCTGGACTGCTGAGGTTGAAGGTGATGTCATCCACAAACCTCATCACGGGAGTTGTGTGTGTGGCAGTGATGTCCTCTGCATTAACAGACACCAGCTAAAGATAGGAAACAAAATCACATGTAAGCAATTACCAGTTTGAAGCAGGACCTTCACTCAACTAGTGACCGCAGCAAAACATAAAATAATACTTTCAAGACCAAGTTGAGTTCCTATAGAGTAAATATGAATGCAGTGCTTTTGATTTCTGGCAGAAATGTTTAGGATGTTTCGAGCATTTCAGAGATTATAAAAGGTTATAAAAGTGCTGTCATTTGCTGTTGCTTGGTCAAATTTTGCGGTGGTTTCAGAATCTGTAGCATTTCCACGTGAGAACGGAAAAGTTCTCTGCACAGATTTACCTCATGCAAATTCACAAAAGAAACTTGCGAGCTTTGATGCTATTGACAATAGACTTTTTTTTATTTATTTTGCTGAAATGTAACTAATGTGAGCGCACCTTGTTGTGATGTAATATGCATGGTTTAAATTTGTTCAATGTTAATACTAAAGGTATTTTTTAATGGCCTACCATGTAAATATCCTAGTGAATGAATATGATGTGGGAACCACTATTTAATGTGAGCTTGATTCATATTATTTGATGATACTTTAATTTATATTATATAAAACAATTGCATAAATTTACCCATGGAAGCTCCCTAGCACCCGTTTTCTGTCTTTTTCTTTACAGTAGCCTATATTCATGTGAAGAATATAGAATAATATATTCACTCACAGAATAAAGGCATCTTTGGCTCTTCCCATGACATGTTTCTGTTGACCACTCTTTAATCTGGTTGACCAAGAGGGAGGAGACGTCAAAGCAGGGAATATCAAGTTTCCTAAAATAAATAAAAATAACTATATTGAACAAATAATCAAATATGCAAAAATAGCTTATTTAATAGGCATTTCATACAAAGGTAATTTAGAAAAAAAAATTCAATGTAAGAATTTAAATATCTTGAATGTTTATAGAAATCAGGAGTCAGCAGCAAGACACATGCAGATATTAATGTAAAAAAACTGTGATGATTTTCTGTATCTGTGCCTAGTTGCATGACTGCGGTTCCGTACCACTCGACAGCGCACTGCGCATGGAGCGGCCCGGCCGCCAACGCGCTCAGTATCCCGATCCCGAGAACCAGCGCTGCGACCACCGACACGCACACCACCGTCGTGCGCGTGCGGGTAGAGCTGCACGAGGAAGGAGAAATCGCCTCGCCCGAGGTCATGCTCGCGTTATCGCGGCCGTGCAGATGTAGGATCCAGATCAGCTGAACAAAAAAAAAATATATCTATATTAGCTCCACCAAGGACGGCCGAGGCGCCACACTTCACACGAGAGGCCTCTATTATGCATTACGATTCCGTTCAATGTCGTCCTAACACAGGAGCTCAAAGCAGAAACACGGAATATAAGGGGTCTCGATACGTCATTGATCACTCTCGACTCGGACCAATCCGCTGTAAATTCGACTCCAGAACGCGCCGCGTCGCAACGCTCCCATGTGTTCTATACAGATAGCATGGTGTGTGAATGATAAGGAATGTCTTATTCTGCACGGTCTCGTGTCTATATTGCACAGTGACGGAAGCGCGCACCGGGTGTACAGTCCTGGATCAGCACAGTCCAAGAACCGCCAGAGAAAGTTATTTGGACGTGGTGAGTGCGCGTTAAATCATTTAGTCAGTATAATGGATTTTCCGAAATGAACTCTAAATAATTATGTAAAGGAATGTAAAAGTTACAGAATGTAATTTTAGCATTTGCCCTGAGTAATTGAGCATGTTTGTCTATAGCACCCCTTTAGCAGAAACGAAACTTACTGACAACTCATTTGAAGGAACAAAAATATTAACTTCTAACATGCTCAACAACGACGACTATAGCCTAATAATAAAATACTTACACAACAATAACATGTCATCCAAATATGTATTTAAAATAAACAAAACAATAATCCACTAGTCTTTATAGGCAAATCAGTCATGTAAAGGGTAATTATGGGTTGAATGGTTGAGTTTAAAATTGAGAAAATGGACAGTGTATACTTATATATATTCCTGTTTTGCTGTAGAAAGGGAAAGCATAGAGCGTTTATGGAATGATAATCATTTTGATATGGTGACATGGGCACAAATATTTTAGTTACACTTTATTTTAATGTGTCCCTGTTATAGTGTAAATATAAATTTAAGTACTGAGTAATATTAACTTCATGTATAGGGTTAGGTTTAAGTATTTGTTTAGGGTTAATTGCATGTAATTAGGCCTAAGCCTACTTATAGTAAATACTATACTGTTCATTTGACAAAAATCAGAACAAAAACAAATAATCCCTATAGAGAAGTACAAACCTTATTAATGTAAAATACTAAGAGAATCACAAAAAGGATATTATTATACATTAAGTATTGAATCACATGGAACCAATGAATATATTCTTATACATTTGAAGAATAGATAATCTGAATTCCCTATATGAGTTACCAATATTTTTATAAGAAATTTAAAACAAGTTAATTACACACAAGTATTGAACCTATAATAATATATCAAATATGCTTTAAAGTTTAATGGTACAGCAGTATGAAATGCATAATTATATCATTTCCTCACAATCTGCATCTCAGGTTGATCATGGCAGAAGATCTGACGACTCCTTGCTCTCAGACTCTGAAGTTGCTGATGCACCGGGTGTGTGTCTAACCAGCCAAACGGTGGCCATACTCGGCTCCGGAGACTATTCCCGCTCGCTGGCTCGGCGGCTGCTAGCTTGTGGTGTTCGCGTGGTGGTCGGGAGTCGGTGTGTGAACCGCATCCCATCAGGACTGTTTCCTGATGCAGTGGAGTTGAGGAACCAGGAGGGGGCAGCATCACAAGCAGTGTGTGTGGTGTTTATGGCCTTGTTCCCTGAGCATTACCGCTCCCTGCTGGGACTACAGTCTGCACTTGCAGGGAAAGTGCTTGTGGATGTTAGTAACGCAGCAGAGATGAAAATCCATGGGCCTTCCAATGCGGAGCGACTAGCTGAACTGTTTCCAGACAGTCTGGTGGTCAAAGGATTTAACACAGTTTCAGCCTGGGAGTTGCAGACTGGACCTCATGATGGAAGCAGACAGGTCAGGGCTACTGTTATGCTATCTGTATCTGTTGAAAACTAGCGCAGGGGTATTTGAGCTGTGTTAGATTTACATGATTTAATATTGTACATCGGTCCCGCATGAACCAATTAAGGTAAACAAACATAATTTGTTTAGTTATTTTGCCACTTACTATCAAAATTTTAACATTTGGGCATTAGCGAATAGCCAGCGAACTATGTTTACGAATTTCCTACGGTGGTTTCGTCTCGATCGGATTAACGGTTTCAAAGATATTCGCAAGTTTTTTTAAAGCTCTAAGTCACAACGTTGCACTAACAATAAGACAAAACCTAGCATGTTTGGCATCGTTGGACTCTCCAAGGATTTGGGAATATAAGGAAATGACTCCTGTGAAGTCAACCACATTTCAGGGCATCGTACCGATAACCCATACCAAGTTTTGTAACGATACGTTCATGCGTTCATAAAATACAGCGTTTTAGTACAAAATTCAAAATGGCTGTTATGGGCAAATAGGATATCATTCAACTCGGCATGACACCCCATATCTAATGAGACCACTTTTATGATTTTTAGACAAACCGTTCAGAAGTTATAAGCAAAATAGCAATTTTTTGTATCTGTGGACAAGTAAGTGGCGCTGTACTGAAACGTAGCATGTTGCCTCAGGTCATGCTTGTGATGACATGTACCAAGTTTTGTCTGAATATGATAAAGCGTTGTAGCCTGGATGCAAGCCCGAACTCCGCCCACAATATTTTTTGGTCGGGAAGTTCGGTGTGGACTCGATCCATTGAGGAGTAATTATGACCATACAAGAAACGTTCGGGCCAATCAAATTGCCAGGGCGGGCTTTATACGATGATGGACAGATGATCTGCTGGGACGTAATCATCACGTTATCAAAGAGCGCTTAACTGGTTTCCCTCAGAGATGACTGCAGCTGGAGAATTGAGATGTATAGATTCCGCTGTCGCGTCTGTTGTAAAATAAATCGACAGCACATTCATTTTAATAGACAAACAGAGAACTACAATCAAGGCATTTGTCGATTGGAAAGATGATTTTGGCGTCCTTCCTACCTGATTCGGGAAAAGTGTAACTTATCAGCTGGCTCTGACGGTCGCTAAGAAGATGGGACGTAATGAAAAGCCTGTGGTCGTTGTGGTTTTTCCTTTGGTCGCACACTATGGAGTACCAAGTAAAAGAAGCAACACTCGTTATTTTACTTCTAAAATAAGTAAGTTCTATAGTTGAAAACTGCGCCATGCAAAGTAGTTGACTTACTGCGTTGCTCTGATTGGTTGTAGGTCTACCGACTATCCAATTGAGTGCAGAGGTTTTTTTTTCCTGGTTCGGTTAAGACACGCCTCATAATCAAAGCCCTATGGAGGAGTTTCAGACTCATATTCTCACTAGAATATGAGTATGACGAAGTCAGGCTAAAAGCGTTATGTATGTTTTCGCACGTGCTGCTTAAAATTAGTTTACGCCATATTCGAGTTGGACCAATCAACTTGAATTCCGTAACTTTTTGGCAGCATGGTTTTTCTTGAAAATCGGAGCAACCGTCTAGGACGAGTTAAAAAAAAGTACAATTTTATGACGGAAAATGACGTCATATTAATTAAGCAATTCGAACAAGAAGCAAAAATCTTTTTTTTTCTTTGCTCCTTTCAATGCTGTAGGTCCTGATCTGCAGTAACAGTACTGAGGGGAAGAGGAAAGTTGTGGAGTTGGTTCGGAAGATGGGCTTCCACCCGCTGGATGTGGGCGGCTTGTCTGCTGCTCGAGAAATTGAGGTTGCATCATTGCGCCTGTTCCCATCTTGGAGCGGCGCGATCATTGTCACCTTCCTCCTCTTCTTCTTCTTCTACGGCTATGGCTTTCTGCGGGGAATTCTGCTGCCATTTCTTGCACAAGGACACAATGCTTTCTACCGTCTCGCCCTCAGTCTGGTGAATGAGAGCCTGCCAGCAGTGGCCCTGGTGACCCTGGCACTTGTATACTTACCAGGCTTGTTTGCTGCGTGGTTGCAGCTCTGGAGGGGCACCAAATACCAGCGTTTCCCATCATGGTTGGACTACTGGTTGCAGCGGAGGAAACAATTGGGCCTGTTGAGCTTTCTGTGTGCAGCGTTGCATGGTGTCTACAGCCTTTGCCAGCCGCTGCGCAGAATCACACTGCACAGGCTCGTCAATACTGCCTACAGACAGGTGCACTTACAAAAAACACTGAGAGTAAAGATCTTGAGATGTTTAGTTGCAGGTAACACTTTAGAATAACAATCCGTCATAAGTAACTATGCAGGAAGTAATGAGTAGCACTACATTAAAGCTGGTTTCTTTATTAGTTAATAGTAGTGGCTGAAGTGTTAATGTAGTGCTACTCATTAGTCCTGCATAGTTACTTAAATGACGGGACATTATTCTAAAGTGTTACCCAAAAGCATAGTGAATGCTATGTTTTGTCTGAACGCATCAGGTGAAAGCAGGCGTAGAGGAGCCCTGGGATGAGCTGGGAGTTTGGCGATCTGAACTGTACCTCTCTTGTGGAGTGTTGGGCCTGGGCGTCCTCTCTTTACTGGCCATCACTTCCCTTCCCTCAGTGGGAAACACCCTCAACTGGAGAGAGTTTACCTTTGTACAGGTGAGCCCATGCAAAACATACAGGTGTTTCCCATTTCTGTTCCTGGAGGCACATTAACAGTTCACGAGTAGATCGCATGTGATATATTGCCAAAGTAACACAGTCTCATCCCAAGACGTCATGTAACTCCATTAGGAAGTTTCTTGAATTTTCTTAGGAAAATTCAACTGCAGTAGCAATCGTTCAACCTGAAGAGGGCAGCACTAAGACGCTTTTACACCATATATTGTAGAAATAAAACACTTTATAAACAAATGTCAAAAAAGTTACTCGAATCAATGACTGGTATTAATAAAGATCCATTCTTACAGATCATAACTAAAAAAAGTTGGTTTAGTGTTTAGTTACTCTTTAAAAAAGAAAATACTAAGTAATGCTGTCGACTTATGAACTTGCACATGGTTTGAAACAACACAGACATATAAACAACACTAAAAAGCTTAATTTTCACAACAGGGGTGCTTTAACAGATTTACTAGCACATCATCATAGATCTTTTAATTTGACTTTGTGTATGCTTGCAAATGAGTATGAAAAATATTTCAGAAGCCGCCACGTTTCTGAGCTTGCAGCGGGAATCTCCCGTGTAAAGTGAGGAAAAAGAGAAGTTGAAAACTCACAGGCTTCCGACAACAATGGCTTTTTTTGATTTCTAACTGTTCGATTCTCTAAAGTCTGCCTTATTTGCATCCATAATATCAAGAACACATCCAGGTGATTTGATGCGTCCTCTGTACTTGCGTTCTGGAGTATTTGAATCAGTCTTTCACAGTGGATGATGACGTAGAACGAGAACACGCAAGGACGCAAGATCGCATATTGAGAAACTGGGTCTCCAGTTTTGGGAGTTGAACAACTCCAAAAAATAAATGGTTGTTAGCATAAAGGCCTAGTTGAAACCTGGTAGCTTAACCACCAAAGTACACTTAAATGCACAATCTGCTGCGCTACATGTTGATTTTAGTTATATACCCAGCTAGTTTTGGTGCATTAATTGCTTGATAGTCAGACTGATCTCATGAAATAGCGTGTGTATGACACGCCAATTCGTATTTCCATTTTTGGCATGCTATCAAGACGCATAATCGCCTTTAAGCGTGTTTATGAACGCCGTTGACTTAACGTTATATAAATATATGACTTACCTCAACCCCGTCCCTAAACCTAACCGTCACTGGGGTTAATGGCATTTATGACTGTTCCCTTACCATCCTAGGAAAGAAAAAGATATGACTTACCTCAACCCCATCCCTAAACTTAACCGTCACTGGGGTTAATGGCATTTATGACTGGAGATTTGACTGCGTGTACAGACACGCGGAATGACGCGGACGTTAATGGCGTAGACGCATACACGCGGATAGCTCAAAATGCGTAGAGATAATACGCCACCTGGCGCGAAAGTGGCGTGTATGTTTACGCAAAAGTCATGATGTCGTGTTGTGATAGTCGACTTTTAGGCTAGTAGGAAACATGAAAATGTTGTTCTGGATGGAGAGCCTTAAAAAAAAAAAACAGATACTGTGACATGATTTCAAATGTACATAATTTTGGCAATGTCTTTGATTAGCACGCAAATGAACATTCAACATACAGGCACAATAGCAGCTTTTTAACATTTACTAAATTTGAAGTTTCATCTCTCTTCTTCCTTCAGTCAGGTTTGGGCTACATAGCTCTGACTCTGTCCATCATGCACACGCTCTTCTTTGGTTGGGATCTCGTCTTCCACATCGAGGCGTACCCGTTCTACATGCCACCCAGTTCTGTGTTGGCCGTGGCTCTGCCCTGCGTCGTCCTGCTGTGCCGAGCCGTTCTGCTGCTGCCATGCATCTCCACCAGACTGGCACGGATCCGCCGCGGATGGGAGAGCAAACGCAACTGTCCAGTCTTACAGACTCATGTGGCGGATGATGGAATAGCATAGGAAGTCTAAGAAGAAGTACTAGGAGGAATATAAGGAGGACTTTTATTATAGGATGAAGTGAGACACGGATATACAGTTGCAGTGGCCGACAGTTTAAACATGCAGGTTAAATAAGTCTAAGGGCAGAATATAAAGTGGAACATGTTTATGAAGTATTTTAAGGCTGGTCAAAATCTCTGACTAGTTTGAGTCAGCCTTACCTGAAAGGGATATCGTGCCGAGGTATTCTGGCCTTAAATAACTCCTGACCCAACTTTTCCAAATCACGGAGTGGACTTCATATGTGCCTTATATTATTACCAAATCCCAATACTTCAGTTGTTCTTCCTCTGGGCCAGTTACTGCGTAAACTCCGTCTGTAACAGGGAGGCCTACATTATACAGAGTAATAATAATGACAGAAATTGCTTTGCATTTAATGCAAGTAAACTGTTGTAAACAAAGCTTGTAATTAAATGTAAAGAAACAAGTATTTTAATGTCTGTTTATAAATGCACAAAAAAAATTGTATGGACTGCATATTTTGCTCTGATAAACTTACATTTTTCATTTCACTTTTCCTCGGCCTGACTGATTGGCTTCAGTTATTGTGGATATTATACAGGAACTTTCAATCAATAAAATTTCTAGTGTTGTGAAAGCATGATTTATAACTTTATTTAACAAAAACAGCAAACAACTTACAATGTGTCATTTAAATTAAACAAGATTTCTGGTACGTGATTTGTTTTCACTGAAGAATAAAATAAAATAAAAAACACTTAAATAACTGGTACTCAACACACACATTTTGCTCTGAAAGAAAAGAAGAATATTCTTACGTAAGAATGTTCAAACAAAAAATATTTTCACTCAAAATTGTACTTGCATATTTGAAACTGTGCTGACAACATATGAATTGTAAGACTACAATATAAAAAGTAAAGCTATAGATCTAATTAAAATATGTGTTTCAATCCCACGTCACAACCGAAAAGAAGCGCCTCTGGTGTTGGATCCTGATGGCCATCACCATTCTGTGTGTGGATTGGCCTTGAACTGTTTATAGTCGGCCATTTTGAAGAAGGCAAGTTCTGTTTCATTCGCTGTGAAGAGATGAAATGTGTTGAAAAAGATTTCAGCAGGTACACAAAAAGTAAATCAGGTTTAAATTTTATATATATATATATAGTTGTATTATATGCTTGACATACCAACCGCACACGCTCGTAACCTGCAGCCATCACGCAGAATCAACTTCTCATCGTCCTCTAAGCTCATTACAAGCTCATTCGTCTGAAATCATCAAAAAAATATCTTATTCATATTTATCATAATTATATTTCCTTTTGTTTTAAAGCTATTCATTGCCATAATTAAACAAATCTCTTGAATGAATGATTCAATAGCTATGTTGCCATCCTAAATTGCGAATTTATCTCAAGCGCATCCTGGGAATATCGCATAAAACATTTTATAAGAAAGCAGAATCTCCATCCAGTGAGTTTATATAAATAAACTTGCCTTGCCTTGCCGTGTGTGAATTTTTATTATTATTATTATTATTATTTATACACACCTTGCCATTTCCATCCAGCAGCAATATCCCAAAATTCCCATGAAATTAAGTAAACATAAACAGCTTGTGACAAACTTATTTTCTAACAGTCTCTTGTCGCCACCTACTGGCGTAACAATGTACAATCATTATTTAAATCGTCAAGTTACTTTCAAAATGTGATTAATTTTGATCACTAGACATCATGTTTATATCCGACCTAGGTTAAAAAGACAGTTTGTGAAATGGTTTCACACATGAGAACTCTCCCACAGATTGACATTTAAGAATAAGATCGTGTTTGTAAAGACATCGCCCTGCTTCTCTACTTCACATGACTGAATACAGTTCAAATAGCCTACAGCACTTTCCCCCAACAGCAATCCCAGATAGCACAAGTCTATTTGATGTGTGTTTACATCTGGAAGACGTATTTTTAAGAGTGTTTACTCATCTGCAATACGTCTACTATAGGACGTGTCCTGTCAGATGTCAAATAGATGTCTTTAAGATGTAATGTTTTAGAATGCATACTTCTTCTAAACGTCTATTTGACATCAGGAAACGTCCTATAGACGTATTGTAGATTGAAAAACTACGTCTTCCAGATGTAAACATCACATCAAATAGACTTGTGCTATCATGCAAATTTATGCCACAAGTGAATGTTTAAAGTTACCTTTGCTCCGTGTGCTTGGTGTATGATTTTCATCGTATCTGCAGCAATACAACAACAGGATAAAGCAATACGGCTTCTTTTACTGTATGGGGGAAAGTTGAGCATAATGTACACTTAGGTTACCATAGTCAAACTGCTTGAAGGGAGGAGGCAATCCAGCTCTGGTTGAAACTTCTTCAAAGAGAAAAGTGCTAGTTATTCATATTTGTCAATGTTATGAAGCAGCTGATTTACTTTTTACTCATGAGTCATGAGAATTATGTCAACCCGTTGTCATCGTGTCTACCTTGCTTAGCAAATGTAATAAACTCCTCCACGGTCTGGTCTAAATCAACGTCTTTGAAAACCAGCGGTTTAAAGTTGCGATGCTCGAAGGACCGAACCAGTCGAAGCGTCAGAACCGCGCGATCACACATCCTCTCAGGCAGAATCACTCAAACTACACGCAAAACACACACGGGGGTTAGCGCGTACAGACATGTACATTAACAAATTAACAAGGAGCTCCTCGCTATTTAGCGTTACGTTACTTCTATTTTTTATAATAACAATTTTAAAGCGTTTATTTCCAGCATGTTCTGAGAAGTGAAAGTCTAGACCAAACCAGTCGCTGTATGATGCGTCGATCGCAGGCAACAGCAGTATCTTCTTCTTCTTCTTGTACTTCCGGCAGCACAGCAGTATCAGGCAAGAGCAATAGAACTGATGTTCACGGATGAAATCTGAACTTGGAAGAATGTTTTAAAAAAAAATTCTTTCTGTAATCAATGATAAATACATGTCTGACCGTTGGAACAAACCAAAAAAACAAGAAAAATCGCATTCATGATGATTTATGGTGATTTTATTTCTGTTAGACCTGTGTCTACTATTGACGCTGATGCATTAAGCGGAGGGGCTCCCCTGTTTCAAGATGGCGGCTCTATTGACGCATTCGTTCCAATGAACTGCCGTATCCAAGGTGATGTCCAGTGTATGTCTATGGTGACTCCCTCACTGTGGAACTAGTGGTTAAGAAAAACAAATGTTTCCACACCACAACAATGCAATCCGTTACATTTTTTTATTCTATGGCTTATTTTATGAGTTATTTTATAACCACTTATAATTATATTCACACTTGTCAGAAATGGAATGCCAAAAATATAATTTGAACACTTTCCAAATGGGATAAATAAAACAAAATCTTCAACAATAGAACTTAAAATTCATGATCTAGGGGAACATGACAGAACATGGGTTAGCTTCATATGTTTTTGCACAAGACTCTGGTAGTGGTAGCTTATAAATATGACTTTCTCTGGGAGTGATTGATTCATTTGATTTTTAAAAGTTCTGATTCTTATCGATTCCTGAATTTTGATTCCAATAGGCCTAAGTAAAAATTCTTTTGGTTCTGATTATGAGCCGATGAGTTGAATCAGGTGTGTTTGATAAGGGAGACAAAGAATACGCGCAGTGTTGGTGTGCCGCCAGGAACAGGGTTGGGAAACACTGTGTACCAGTTTCCGAACTTTGTAAAGTCACAGTATGTCTGTAAGACGAGTTAGTTGCAGATATCTACAGCCTTGATGGCTTACCAAAAAAGCTTCATGAAAAAAAAAATCATGAAAAAAAAACATCAGGTAGCCTACCACAAAACTTTTTATAAATTACAGATATAAATAAAGCCGTTACAGAAAATATCTGGATGCAAATCAAGGATCAGTTGTTTATCCAAACAAACAAATGCAAAACCACTGATACAAATCAAAAGACACGTCAGTGTACAAAAGGAGCCTCTGTTGCAATATGGAAATGTCTGTTTGAATTGAATTAAGGCCATCTCTACATTTCCACAGAACTCTCAATCTGGCATCCCCGGTGTGACCCTGTGGCCCAGTTACAAGAACCTACAATTTCGTCAATCTGATTGGACAGGTGTCTCGGTACATGCTCCAGCAGCCAATGGCGTGAAGGGGGCGTGGCCACGTGCGTATAGTACGGCGATCCTCAGAGTGTTGCTGCCATTCACTCACAGCGGGTTTAAAGCGCATCGTTTTAACAACAGACTGAAGCATCTGTAACCATGTCTGAGGTCAGTATGAACAAACTCGACGCTTTTGTTTGGTACGAGGGTGTTTGAGGCTTGCAGTGTGCTGTATTTATGACTTAAATGAGCACGACATTGTGGTGCTCTTTAAATGGGCCACGTGAATTAGGTAGCATTCCTTAAGTGATCAAGATTGGTTTATCTCGATCGAGAGAGGTATAAAGTACCGGTAATACAATACAACAGAGTAAATCCAGTAAATGAGACTGGAGGGCATACTGGATGTGTGTAGAGAGCGCCATGTCTACGTGGGTGTGGCGCGTGACCGTACGTTAGAATAGAGCGAGCGGCTTTGTGTTGCGCTTTTATTAATCGATGATGTGTACGTTACTTTTGGGACCGCTACATCGCGTTATTTTTACCATACCTTATAGAGATGGTCACCTCAAAAGCCTGTAGTAGCCTATGACACTAATGACTTTCACTGAAAGAGATGTTAGATGGTGATAGCCTCAGTCACCGTTCGTTTTCATTGAATGGAAAAATGATGCAATAAAAAGTGGAAGGTGACATTATTTATGGAAGGTTGTTTCCACCTCAAAATAAATAAAAGAAATGTAATTGTGAGTTTTTATCTCACATTTCTTTTTTTTCTTGCATTTGCGAGTAAAGTCAGAGTTATAAAGTCATAAATTGTCAAATAAAAACTCTAAATTCTCAGAAAAAAAGTATTCTTCCCCGCAGAATTGGACTTTGTAATTTGCAATTGCGAGTCTCACAATTCTCAAAACGTGCAATTGCGTGAAAAAAAAAATCGGAATTGTGAATTTATTCCGATTCTTACATTAGAACTAGCATTTCTGACTTTTTTTCTCGCAATTCTGAGTTATTTTATCAGAACTGTGAGATAAAAAGGCTTATCTTTTAAATTGTTTTATTCTATGGCAGAGACAAGCTTTCCAACATTATACTTACAATCGCAATCTGTTGTATTCGCTAAGAATTTCTTACAAGTTTTGAAGGACGTGATCGATGATGCCAGGAAATTAACCTTTAAAACAATTTGTGTTAGCGCCCACTTTCACCACAGTCTCATTCGTTGTGTAACAGCTGGACGGTTTTCAAATCAACTCAAATGTACTTTAATTCCATGATCTTAGAGCTTTTTCAAATTTCGACTTGCAGTTAGTTGGAAGGAGAGTTATTCTAGTATTAGGGCATGTGGGGTTTTTTGGCCGTTAAAAGTACCGCGTAAAATACGTTAATGCTTCTTCTCCAAAAATACTTGTCAGTTGAAGGTGTGAAAAATGGCTTTTAACAAGCTTGTAGTTAGTCCACTGAAATCTGATAAAGTGTTGCCATGTTATGACTGAGGTTTACTGGTTTACTGTGACAGGAAGATGGACCAACAGAAGTTGGTTGATGATGGTCTGCCTTGGTGTGCATGTCTCGTAATCAGGGCAAAGAATCACAGGCAGAGTAAAGTGTGTGTAAGAGGAACGGAGTTTGACCCGTGATTAGAGATCTGCTGAAAGCCTTCATTATTGTGCGCTTGCTATTGTGCCGTGGTTATGTAATCACGCCATGTCTCCCACCAGCACTGTGAGGCAAGACTACGAATGTAAAATAGCCATGACCAAAATCTTTTCAGTCCTTTTTTAAGAAATAAGAATGAGAGTTGAATGCATGATGGATGTAGAGAGTCCAAAATGAATGAGGCTTAGGGGAAATTTAGCTGAAAGTAACTAAATTTCTGTCATATTGTGATATTCTGTCATACATAAATATCACCTATAAATCTACTCCGTCGCTGTAGATTCATTTGCACCACAGCAAAAAAAAGTCGTGAATGTGATTCCTTTGCTGATGTTTCTATCCACCTATTTTATGTGAATTTTGGGATATCATGGAAACACCAAGATGGCCACACAAAACTTATGCGCTCAATTAAGGCAGATATTTTTTGCACATAAACTACGATGGAAACACATAAAGCCCTCGATGTGCAACCAAAAACTCATTTGATATTCCCTCAGAAAAGGCTGTGATTGGGGGTGAATACTTTAGGTGATATATATATCCATTCAAGATTTAAGAAGACGTTTTTATCTTCCTGCGTCCTCTTATTTTGTTTATCTTCAGCTAAGATCAGCATTAAAAACGTATGGAGTTCCCTGGAATTCTTCTCTCCCCTCGCATCCCATGTTACAATGGATTGCACCATTACTGGGCAGACCTTCTGTCTCTTTAATATATAGTGCACTGATTCAGCATAGGGCCAAAACTTTACCAATTGAATCCATATGGAACACGGAGTTGGGGAGTTTAAATGTAAACCTAGATTGGGAAAGAATATGGTATAACCTAAGTATAACTTCTAAGAACCTAGCGCACCAACTAATACACTTCAAAACAGTACATAGAGCCTACATCACACCTTATAGGAGATTCCAGATGAAATTACAACCTACTCACAACTGTCATATATGTAACACTGCTTCACCTGGAACGTTTTTACACATGTTTTGGGAGTGTCCAGTTATTTCTAACTTCTGGTTACATGGAAATTCATCTTTAGCGGATATACTTGACATTTTTTTATGTTCCGAATCCTGGTTTCTGTCTTCTTAATGATAATTATGATATAAATCTAAAGCAAATTCAGTTAAAAATGTTGTTCGTAGGGTTTACCTCTGCAAAGAAAACAATTTTGAAAAACTGGTTCTTTCCGGATATGTGTATGGATACATAGCCTTGTCAACATTGTCAATCTTGAACATGCAACTGCACGACTCAATAAGGCGCAACCAGCGACTGTACAAGCTTGGAACTCTTTCTCATCTAGGATTATTTCTTGGTCCAGGGACAACAGCTAGGCAATCTTTGATGTGAACTGTACCTGCCAAACATATTTCTGTAGTTTTATGTATTGTCTTATTATACGTATTGTCTCACATCCATTCACTACCATTGTGATGTTTTGATGTTTTTCTTTTTCTTATTCTTTTGTCCTTTCTCATCAAATATGATTCTCATCATATTTCTCATCACATATGATTCTGGAGATGTCTGTAACCCTACCCCCCCCCCCCCCCCCCCCCCCTCTCTCCCTCTCCCCCAAAGAAAACAATAAAAATATTGATCACAAAAAAAGAAAAGGCTGTGATTGGATAACTGGACTAACTAGTGGACCAATGCATCAAACAATGAGTCCATGTTTGTCATCAGAATGATTTGGTTTAATTCCGTCCAAAAGAATCTCACACGATTGAGTTCTGAGATGCAACTCATTTATGATTTTATGAAATAATTGAGTTGATGATTATCGAAAGAGCCCGATTTCAGCAACTTACAGTTTTATTACAGATATTTTGCACCAATAACCCATGAAGTGATGATTTTGTTCTGTTGAACACATGGGATAGAAACTTTGCTTTATTCGCAAATGTTTTAGGCCTATGCGATATTCCAATTATGCACTCAAGTTAAATTCGCAACTTTGCATGGAAACAGTGATTTCAAAAGTCTTCACTAAAACTTAAATCAGTATTGCTGACTGATTGTCCACATGACAGCATGTGCTCGTACAGTGTTCTGTCTGGTCATGCTGTTGGTGTTTCACAGGCTGAGTTTCAGAAAGCAGCAGAGGAGGTCAAACAGCTGAAAGCGAAACCAGCGGATGCTGAGATGCTGGAAATCTACAGTCTGTACAAACAGGCCACCGTAGGAGATGTTAACACAGGTCAGCTTCTCCTCTAACCCATAAACTTGGCTTAAGTTGATCTATAAAACTAAATTGCAGCTCTTTAAAAAGTGTGTGTGTTTCTTTCCAGCTCGACCAGGCATGTTAGACTTCACTGGCAAGGCCAAATGGGACGCCTGGGAGGCAAAGAAAGGTCAGTTTCCCCTCCCTGCCACCAGAGTGCAGCGACACACCATTAGGGGTTTCAAGCGCATAGACTGTAAAAAAAATCTGTGTATCTGTGATGTCACCCGTAGTGTTTCTGAAGAGCAGTTTTTGAAGCCAAAAGTGGGCGGAGCCGGCTGTCGCCATCTTGGTCACATCACTCAAAATGAGATGACTATTCGAAAATAAACGAAAAGAGGCGCATTAGCTGAGGTGACGTGACACTAGCTAGTAGACAAACGGCTAGTAGCATAGATATCCATAATAGAGTGCCGAAGTTATAACGTCATTCTGTAGGCCAAAACGCGGAAGTGAGTTAGCATTTTAGCACTCCCGGTTCCCTCGCTCTAAAGTCTATGGGATTTTTGAATGGGTTTTTGCTAAATGCCTGAAATAAGGTCTGTGGGGAAAACCACCTCTAAATATTTTCACGTTTTAATCTATGACATAGAACACACAGTTATAACCCGCTTTCGTTTTTTTTTTTTAACTTTATTGTGTCTGCTTGTGTTTTTTAAAAATCTTGTCAAGATTATCTTGATAGACAAAATCTTATTTTTTGCGATTTTCCAAAAGTCTATGGGGAAAATGCGTAGCTTTACGATCGAGGGAACCCATGCGACGCTAGCTTCCGAGTTGTCCTGCAAAGTGACATCATCACTTCGGCACTCTATAAAGGCTGGATGTCTCGTTCGCGCTGCTGGCCAATGGAGGTCGACGTCCGCACCTGGCGGCCATCTTGTCACGGGCAGCTCATTGTGTTTTAATGGTGCATGTACTTTTTAAATAACCATAACTTGCTTAATTTTCTACCGATTTTCAAACAGTTTGGTTTGTTATAAACGTCAAGAGATTAAGTTCTGACACTGCACACTTATGAATAATAAGTGTAAAAATAAGTATTTGTGTTCGTGCTGATCACTCATCTTACATCAGGAACCACAGAGCCCGCCAGAAAGGTTTCCTGTGACAAGATGGCCGCCGGTGATGACGATAGAGACTCCGCCGTAAGACATCTAGCCCTTATTATGGACATCTATGACTACGCCCTTAATTATGCAGAACTTACTAACAGAGGTGTCTCTCCTCACAGTCGTCATGAAGGGCAAAATTAGCTATAGTGACCACCAAAACCACTTTTTGCACCAGGCTGTAAACGTTTTTTTCAGCTGTAAAGTTGGGCATATTAACATGGTGGTCTATGGGATTGACTCACTTTTGATGCCGGTCTCTAGTGGCCAGTCGATGAATTGCAGTTTAAAGTCCATGGGGTGGTGGTGGCGCAGTGGATAAGACACATGCCTTTGGTGTGAGAGACCTGGGTTCGAATCCACTGTGAGACACCAATGTGTCCCAGAGCAAGCCTTATAACCCCTAGTTGCTCCAGAGGCGTGCGACCTCTGACATATATAGGAATTGTAAGTCGCTTTGGATAAAAGCGTCAGCTAAACGAATAAATGTAAATGTAATGTAAAGTCGCCTGGTTGCTGCTTGGTTTAAGTGTGTAGCGCTCGTTAGTAAAAGTGACCGAGCAGACCAAACCAAAAGTCGTAGAGACCTGAAACTTTGAGGGCGGGTAGTACTCCCATTGTCTACAACGTCACCAAGACTCGCCCACATCGGCCTGATGGTGGCGCTACAGCGGTCAAAAGTACTAAATGGCTCATAAATCCTAAACCGTTCGTCACAGGCTCAAGTGTCTTTTATCTTGGGAATCTTTGGCTCAACACAAACAAAACGCATGTCTCTGATTCGGGTTTTTCATCTGATCGGAAACCAAACTAGTACAGAAAGATTCTCACGAGTCTGACTGTCAATAATTATCAAAAAGTCGAGTCTAAGTGGATTTAGACACTTCTACTAAAACGCTATCCCTCTGAAACAAAATAAGATAATTTCACCAAACCTGGTACACCTATGGGCATGTGAAAAAGAACGTTGCGACTGGCCACTTGGTGGCGCTATAAAATGACCAAAACAAAACGGCTTTAGCTACGCAACTGGCAGTCCGATTGACTTGCAAACTGGCATGCGGTGTCTTTGTTCAAGGTGCTACAGTTGTTTACGAGGGCATTCGAGTATCTCGAAAAAGATGGCCGCCGTTGGCCAGTGAAGTTCAAGACGAGGTTAATGGCAAATTAGAACGAAACTCGCTAGGAATCCAAAAGAAATCAACAACCAGCAACTTTGCCTCTAGGACCACCGCTGTCAATCGAATCGTTCACTAAATATTGGAGATTAATTAAAAATCCCGCTTTGGTGAACTAGTCCTAGGTTTTTGGCTCTACCAAGCTTTATTTCTTTAGTAAATTGGCTGTAAATGTTCTTTCCATCTATGATCTACGTGGTTACATGCTTGCTAATTAAAACATCATTCCTTTGTATGCATGTGCTTAAAGGCCTCAAAACACTTGAACCCTGTTAATTGCTGCTTGCAGCTATATTTTTAATTCGGAGTTTTCTCAGTCTTAATATATAGAGTAAATACGCAGTCTCCTTTTACATCTGTGTTTCTTCTCTTGCACATTTCAGGAATGAGTAAGGATGATGCTGTGAAAGCCTACATCGCTAAAGTAGAGGAGCTGAAAGGAAAATACGGGATCTAACAGCCGGACCCCATCAGAGCCAGCCTGCCTTTACCTGTACTTTTCTCCTCCCATAAAGCGCCTTACGGCCTCCAGTTTGTCCCTCACGAGGGTGTTACGGTTTCGCTGTAGCACGCAGACTCTGTTCTGTGTGAGAGAATAGGCACATTCCCCGCAGGCCAAGAGAAATAGTCCACCAGCAACCATATAGTGAAAGCAACAAATAAACCATGTAGTGAAAAGCACAAATAAACCATGTAGTGAAAAGCACAAATAAACCATGTAGTGAAAAGCCCTAATGAATGCAATGCCATAAAATCACTTTTTCAAAACCCCCGTATTCAATTTGTGTTTTCTTACAAACACTGAAGAAGATCAACATGTTTGATTTCCTTCAAAAAATGTGATGTGTTTGATTTATTTTTTTAAGTGAGAGACCCCTGTGGACGATTTTGTGATTAAAAATGACCTGATCAAATATTCAAATGCATTTACTGTGTGACTGTGCATTTACTTGTTTCAATATGTTAGAGTAAAAGCTAAATTTTATAGACTACACTTGAGTTGTTTTCCTGAGACAGACATGATATGCCTGACTTCGGCTTGTGTGAATATCAGTACTTGATATTTATCAGCATTCACTAACACATGAGAGCATTATTTTCTTCTATCCACTGGGGTCAAGTGTTGGATGATGTAAAAACATTGAGGAAAGGGTTTAATTGAATGATGTGCCCCTTTCAGCATTTCTTTATATCCCACCCGTCTTTACCTCAGTCTGGTAAGGGATTAAAGTGCTAGAGATGGTGAATTGCATTATGTTTTTGAAAGAATTTTGTCTGGTCAATAATGATAATCAGCAGTTTAATCAAAGTTATACACCTAATGCAGGCCTATCAACAACACTGTTTTACTAATTACTACATATAGGCCTTGTATTAGTGGCTTATGTTTTACTAGTAAAAAATAGCCATTTTACTACAGTGTCTAGAGAAAAAAAAAGATATTATAATGATTTGTTAAAATAGTTCTAGCAACCTAATACTGGGGTGAAATTTTAATCTGAACAGAACTAAAAATGTGAGAATGGGAAAAGTAGCTAATGACTGTCACTATAAAAATATAACTGCTAGTTAGTTACCATAAATCGTTTTTAGGAATAAACGTTTAAACATTTTACAGTGGGTCCATTTACCAAAATACATTTTCCACACTCTAATATTTGTGTAAAGCACACACACACACACACACACACACACACAGGAATAGTTCATGTCTATTTTACTCTTATAGTTTTGTAATTAATAGGCCTGTTTTAGGCTTTTTTATAGTTTAAATCTGGGGGGAAATATGAATGAATGTAACGTTTCCAAGTTCTGTTGCCGTATAGCTAAAATAAAGAAAACATATCGATTAGTTTTCTAAAAAAAAAAAAAAAAAAAAGAAACTTCCTCATGCTGCCTCTCGCATAATAATATCTGCTGTAGTAACGAACGTGACCGGGAAACTAACGCGCGCGTGATCTGCGTGCCGAGGCGACACGGGCGGTTAAAGTGAACGCTGAACTACTTCAGTTAATCTTACACTCAGATTACACTGTACTTTCGACTGGAGTTGACTTCTTCGTCTCGCTTCTCCTGGTCTGTTGGCTGTTGAAATCAATATGACGGCAATAAAAATCAGGGTAATGCCTTTTAAATGTATTTTAAATGTTTATTTTTTGTTTGGTGTGAAATTTAACATTTGCTTTGGATTAAAGGGCAATAATATGCTTCGTTTAGCGCAATCTACTTTTACAAGAAGGTATAACAAAATGAAGGGTTGTGAGCAGGGAAAATATTATATGGACAAAAAAATGACCTAGGATTTTACTAAACTACATATTTAGTAGGTAAACAGATTAAAACAGAACCCCAGTTAGAAGTTAGAAACTCTCAGAAAATAAAAATAAAAAACAGTTCTAGCTCACTGCCACATTTACCCATAAGGGGAGCGTGTTAGTACCTAGTTCACTTTGAAATTACTTTTTGATATGTTTTATCTTACCTCAAGGGCATCCAAGATGTAGGTGTCTTTGTTTCCACAGTAGTTTTAATTTTGATATTTTTAGGTCAAACCGTTCTTGTCTGTCAGTCATATAATGGAGGTCTATGGTCACCACCTCAAAGAGCATTCACAGAGAAGTCCAAATGAAACATGATTTAATGACTCGTAAATGTAAGTACACATTGATGGCCTAAGACACGAAACGAGCTGTTTTTGTGAGAAAACCAACAGTATTTATATCGTTTTACCTCTTGTAACCACAGCCACGTCCAAGTACTCTGAGGGCACGGCCACTTGGTGGCTCTGGTAACAAGAGGTAAAAATGATAAACGATAAATACTGTTGGTTTTCTCACACAAACTGCTCGTTTCGTGTCTTAGGTCATCAATGTGTACTTAATTTGGACTTCTCTGTACATGATCTGTGAGGTGGTGACCATAGACCTCCATTATATGACTGACAGACAAGAACGGTTTGACCTAAAAACACCAAAATTGTAAAGTTTATGGGCGTTTAGTATGAATATGTTAGCCTTACTGTTATCTCTAAGCTAGCGTGCTCCGAAACAATGACAAAATTCGCATTTAGAAGACCAAACCTAACGACCTAACGTCACAAACGACCTTGTAACCAATCAAATCAGCGTGTGATCGTCAACCAGTGGATCTCTGAGTGAGTGAGCGGAGGCAGGGCTCATTTGCATATTCATATACTAAATGAGGCAAGGGTGTCCAGTTACATTCAAGACATTTTAAGGCATGAAATGTCATTTTGGTGATCAAATATGAGTTTTAAGGGAGACAATTATTGACGACAGGGGAACTGTGTACGTTTTTGTTTCTGAGAGTGAAGTGAAACATAAGAGCAGGATATCATGTTGACAGACGTGGATCAGATTTCTCCTGTTTCTCTCTAGGTCGGGTCTGTTCCACATGGGAAACCCGTTCCTCTTTTTCTAGACGTACTGTGCCGCAGTCTTATCATCCTGTGCACGTGTCTGTCCGTCGTCCTCTCGTCTGTGGCGGTGTGTGACGGTCGCTGGCTGCTGGCCGGCGGACACATGTTCGGTCTGTGGTATTTCTGCTCGCTGGATCAGCAGAGCTTTAACGCGTCCCAGAACTGCACCACTCATCTGGAGGAGTCGGGGGTGCAGGGTCTCGGCGTGGGCTTGCCGGCCTGTCGCGCGATCATCACGCTGGCTGTGGTCAGTGCTATCTTTGGCCTGGAGCTGCTCGTGATGTCGCAGGCGAGCGAAGGGAGGGACTCGAGTCGGCGCTGGACTCTCGGGACACGGCTGGTGCTGCTGGCGGGGATCATGGCTGCCGGAGGGGTCGCCGTGTTTGTGCTCCTGTTAGGGACATTTGCAACACCCCTGGGGTTCACGCTCACCTTCTGGTGCCAGTTCACCGCCACTGTCCTGTTCTGCCTCAATGGACTGGCAGCGCGGCACATCCACCACATCGAACCTCTGCTGCCCTCTAGTGGACATCATGACAAACTGCAGAAATCAGACATCTGACAGGAGATCTGCGGTGTCTGTAGTCTGAGGGAGTTCGATGGATGGTTAATAATCAGGTACACTCTTTAAAACAGAGCCCAGGGTTCCATATAGATATTTCGCACACTCTTAACAATAAAGGTTCCAAAAGTGATGTCAGAAGTTCCATTTTTGGTTCCGTTCAGTGAAACGTTCTTAATAGAACCATGATTTTCTTGTTGCCAGGAACCAGTGTTCCACTGTAAACATCCTAGTGTGGAATGAAAAGGTTCATGGGTGTTAATGCCAACTATGAGCCTTTATTTTTTTTAAAGTGCAGGTGTTTTTAATGACACGTTGCATTGTGTTGTGTTTTATAGTTAAAGGGAAAATGTCCTGGAGGAAAGATGCCGGCAACTTTTCCATTTTTCCAGGGTAGATCAAAACTTTGAAATAATAATATCACTTGTGTTTTATTTATATTAATCATAAATATTTCTTTCACAGAAGATCATTTCAGTCTATCATTTAGATTTTTGTCACTCAATCTCATTTCAATTTAATTGAAATAATGAAATAATGATAATCAGCACTTAGCTGACAGTATTATCTGTGAATAAATGACTCTTTACAGTTAGTCTTTAGTATATTTAATGAAATGCTCTCTCTTTTACATCAGATCTTTTTTTTTTACAATCTATACTTCTCATTTTACGAGGAGATCTCTATACAGTTCATTTAATAAAAACATTTTTTTTTGTCTTTACATTTTTGTGTATTTCACAACTCATTTCACAAGACAACATATGGATATTAGGTGTTACACTTTACAAGGTTCATTGGTTTGCATTAGTTAACTACATTAGTTAACTTGAACTAAGAATGAACAATACTTCTGCAGCATTTATTAATCTCAGTTCATGTTAATTTCAACATTTACTAAGACGTTACAACAATCAAAGGTTGTATTTGTTAACATTAGTTACTGCACTGTGAACAGCTGTATTTCTATTAACTAACATTAACAAAGATGAATAAATACTATAACAAATGTATTGCTCATTGTTAGTTCATGTTAATTAAAGGGATACTCCACTTTTTTTTTGGAAATAGGCTCATTTTACAACTCCCCCAGAGTTAAACAGTCGAGTTTTACCGTTTTTTGATATTTAGAAGAATATCGGTAACCAGACAGTTTTTGGTCTCATTGACTTCCATAGTATATTTTTTTTTCTACTATGGAAGTCAATGAGACCAGAAACTGTCTGGTTACCGATATTCTTCTAAATATCAGAAAATCGTCTGAATGCATTTGAAAAAGGTGAAACTCGACTGTTTAACTCTGGGGGAGTGGTAAAATGAGCCTATTTCCAAAAAAGTGGAGTATCCCTTTAATACATTAACTATAATGAACCTTATTGTAAAGTGTAATGTGTTCAAGGCATCATTATCAAGATTTACACAGCCGTGTTCACAACTATTTACACAACAGTGGGATGGAATAAATATATGCCTTTTTTCTAGTTTAATGTTTCTTGTGGTTCACTTTTATTTGCACACAAAATCGTCATATATTTGCAAAACATGATTTTCACCGTCTCCTTTAAGACGTCAGTAAACGGTCACTGATTGGCCAACATCATCGCATGTTCCCTGGGAGCTTCTCATTTCTTAAACTGTGAGGAAATGAGGAAACACAAACTAGGAAATGAGAGAGGAGTCGAGAAGTTGAATGGATGTGGATGTGTTGTGCAGCCAGTCAGATTAAAGTGCCTATTAAAGTGACATCAAGACATGGAAAGAGCCATTTTGTCGTAATAAGGATGAATATTTACAGTCATGAAAGCTCTTATGTCAAAAGTTCAGTGAAAATTTGATTCCTCGTGTCATGGCTTTTAAATAATATCTTTTATTGTGCTGTCTTTACCTATTCTTGACGTTTATACATATCTATACAGTATATATATAATATTATTGCACACAGGCATCGGTTTCCTACTAACTACAACACCACAGTGCACAAGCATATAGAAGACAAATACAATAACTGTCAGTTTGTTATGGCCATGACGCTTTTCTCTCAGTGTCGGCCAACTAAGAGCTTGTGGTTCAGGTTTAAAGGAGCTGTGTGTAAGAAATGTATTTAAAATAATCATAAAACGCCCCTGGTACTGTATGTCACTATCATGTTCATTTAAAATACTTCTATCACTGACAACAGTAGTCCGGCCAGGATATTGTCATTTAAAAAGTGAAGTTGCAGCCCTCAACTGATGTTGATGTTGTCATGTTGTGTTTTGGTCTGATGCTCCACCCTCCACCGATCTACCAATCACGGAGTGATTGCAGCATTCGGGTTGCCAGCTCTGCTCTAGTTACCACAGTTGCAGATACAAACGGGTGGGATAAAAAAATGTTGGATCCTGCAATATATCTGGCAACCTCGAGTCAGAGGGGGAGGGGAGTCTATATAAAGGCTAGATATCTCGTCCGCGCTGCTGGCCAATGGAGGTCGACGGCCATCTTGTTACAGGCAGCTCGCTCACTGGTAACATTGTTTTAATGGTGCATGCACTTTTTAAATGCGATTTTCAAACGGTCTGGTTTGTTATATAACGGTAGAGATGTAGTTATGACACTGCATACTCATGCATAATCATCCAGAAATATAGCCACGTTAATAACGTTTGTAAGAAACCAAACCGTTCGTAAATCCGTCAAGACTTCAACGAGATAAGAGTATTTTCTTACATCGGATACCACAGAGCCCGCCAGAAAGCCTGTCTGTGACAAGATGGCCGCCGGTGATGACGATAAATACTCCGCCGTGAGACATCTAGCCTTTATATAGATATCTATGGACACACCACTCTACAGTAATTTGAAAGTGATTGCAGTACCAGTTTTGGCCACAATCTTACATACGGCACCTTTAAATGGACTGTGCGGTTCTGATTGGTTCTCCTGTTGCCAGTGTTGTAGTCACTCGAGTCCGAGTCAAGACAGAGCCCATAGAGAGTCGAGTCCTAGTCGAGTCCGAGACCAGAGACGGTCGAGTCCGAGTCGAGACTGAGACCAGAGAGGGTTGATTACCTAATTTACTTTTATTTACTTAGAGAAATCCTTTTTTTATTTTACTGAATTTACTTAGAGTTTAAAAAATATGATCAGTTTAGAGTAAAAAGGCCACATAGTAGGTGGTGTTAAAAGTAATTTTATTACAATTTGTCATGCGCAGTTGCGCACTAGAAAATCACCAATCACTGGGCGTGTCAATCAATTTAAAGAAATATTTTAACATACATTAATAATCATGAAAATATTTTGAATTGAACTCGAGTGGACTCGGGAATAAGTCCGAGTCCTAAAAAAAAAATGTTCGAGTACGAGTCAATTCCGAGTCCAAATGCACACGAGTCCATGACAAGACCGAGACCATTAAAATATGGTCTCGAGACCGAGTCCGAGTCCCGAGGACTACAACACTGCCTGTTGCCACTCTCAGAAGAAAAGGTTAAGCTTAAAGGTTCTGTCAGGCGCTTCATATATATACCCTCATGTGATCGTTTCATGGATGTAGTTTTAATTCACTGATTTAGTTTAAAATTCATCTTTAATTTGAAACTAAATTCGTTTCAAAGTTTCAAAAAAGTTAAAAAGGGGTCCTAGAGGACAAACATGTTTGTGTTCAAAACAAATCGTATAAATATAACATATTAATATTTAATCCTGCTTTCACTAAATTTTGAATATGATTGGTTAATAATTAGCAACATTATTAATATTTATGCATTATTTTTTTTGTGAATTGTCCGTTTTTTTTTTTTTAAACTACCGAACACACACGTCACGCACACATTGTGTTGGCAACAAGACATCATGACTTTTGCGTAAACATATCTAAATGCACTTTGAGCTATCCGCGTGTATGCGCGTATGCTAAATGTCCGAGTGATTCCGCGTGTTAAATGTCTGAGCGAAACGAAGCAAAATGTAGATCTACATCTGGGGTGCGTTATTTTTTTCCTAGGATGGTAAGGGAACACTGGTAAATGCTATTAACCCCAGTGACGGGTAGGTTTAGGGACGGGGTTGGGGAAGGTCATATATTTATATATACAGTAATGTAACCGTTACGTTAAGTCAACGGCGTTCATAAACACGCTGAAAAGTAATTATACGTGTTGACAGCACGCCAAAAATGGAAATACGAATTGGTGTGTCATTCACACAGTCTGATCGTTGTGGTCAGGTGATCAGCTGGTTGTGGTCAGGTGATCTGATGGTTGTGGTCAGGTGATCTGTGTGCTGGGGCGTGTCAGCAGTGAGACCTGTGTCAGAGGCAGGCCACTGTTACTCAGGGATCCATGATGCACCCTGGGATCACCGTGGAAACACTGCTTCAGCCGCCACCGTCTCCACCGCCTGTGGACTTCATATTGTACCTGCCAAAAGTTAAAGTTTGATAGTTGTTAAGGCTTATCAGTGAAACATAAAATAAAACCGTCTTGCTTCCCATGCCTAGAGCAGGATCTGATAATGACAAATGTGTCTAAAATGTGTAATGTGATTCACCAGAATAATTTGATTCAAATTTCCATCTTTTTGAATTCACTCACCTCTCCATTTAAAAAGCAGTACAGCAGTGCCACAATAAAGCCCTGTAATAGCAAACAAAACATGAAGCAGAACCAAAAGTCAATGGTGGATAATTTTATAAAGCCAGAGAAAGTGAAGATAAATGACAACAACCTCCAATAAATATGCCGTACAGAGATTGGGTTTCATTATTTTTGCTGTTCCTGAAGCAAATTGAAAGTTGTATATGTACAGTAGTTGGCTATAACCTACTTTACCTGTGTACATGCATTAGGCTAAACTCACATAAAGAATAGACACTACAAGGCAAATCTCGGTTGCGTGATCGTTTTAGATGTATGTAAAGTTATAAATCGATATATATATATATATATGAAGAGTTCAGATGCCTCTAAATGCCATTTGAAATTTTCTTCTTTAATGATGATTTTTATCAAAGTTCAGTGATTTCACTTAAATGGCAATGATAATAACCTATTAATTGTTATTTAAGTGAAATTACTGAACTTGAATATATAAGTTTGACAAAAATCATCATTAAAGAAGAAAATTGCAAATGGCATTTAGAGGCATCTGAACTCTTCATATATATATATATATATATATATATATATATATACACACTATAGGCTAAAGCAAATCTCAACTGCTCGATTGCATGTATCGTAACAAAATGTAAACTATATTATCGCCCAACTCAAATCCAATATATGCAAATTTAAGGCATGAAATATTTCAAAACAGAGATTTTCTGCTTTGAAACTGTGTGTATTATGAAAAGTGCTATATAAATACATGTGACTTGACTTTTCCTGTGTGTATGAGAAAAAGTATCGATCACCTGTGTGGATGCTAATGCTAGCTCAATGAAATTCCAGATTTTGAAGGTTAGCACGCTCACTCGATCCGGGAAGAAGGCAAAGAGCACATACTGCAGCCCAAACAGGGACACTAGGAGAAATGTCGATTTCGCCAGTTTTCTACGTAATAGAAAAAAAAAAGATAATGAAGATTATTAGAAGTTCGTTTTTTTTAATTCACTCATTTATATTTCAATCATATAAAGCTGGGTGATTTCTGCGACCCTAGCTATATCAAATAAAATTTGATACAATCACAGTAATCACAGTCATTATTACTGCCGTTCTGATTGGTCCCACTAGTGACGCACAGTTAAATGCAGAGTGCTATTTTCTCTCACCTATGATGATTAATTTCATTTCCATGCATGTCAGGAGCTTTCAGTTTTGCCACCAACGTCCGGATAATACTCAGAAAAAACAGCATGTTTACCTGAAAAACAATTTCCCTTGAGATAATTACAATGATTATTCATTGTTGCATAAAGTGTTGGATATTTAAAAAATGATATTTAAAAAATATTAAAAACATGGCAAGACAGTAGGTTATTATGACTAATATGCAGAGAACAATATTGTAAACAGAGAAATTTAAAAAATCAAAACACTGTTTAGAAACTATAACTGGAAAGTTTGCTTACTGTGATGAAAATAATGACTGGTACTCGCAATATCCACCATATCCAGCCATGATCTCTCGTCTCCCAGCATCTGACAACACACACACACACATGTTGTGTTTTCATGTTTTATGGGGACTTTCCATTGACATCATGATTTTTATACTGTACAAACTGTATGTTCTCTCCCCGACCCCTAAACCTACCCATCACACACAACTATGCACTTTTTCTATTTTCAAAAAACATCTATATGCTGTTTTCCTAATGGGGACTAATAAAAGTCCACACAAGGACAAGGATTTGGGATATTGCCATGTTTTTAGGTGCACACACACACACACATGCTGTGTGTTCTCATGCACAACCATGCTGGTTTAAAATAACCACTCTTACATAATACAAATTTATGGTAACAGATAACATTTGTTGTTGTTCAGAGGAGGTTAGTATAAATAAAGAAAGTCCCTTGAGAGATCAGACTCAGCTTAAATGAGTTTAACTCTGAAAGTGATTTCTGAACGTACCCTTCATCCTGGTGCAGGTATTTGGCCAAACTCCAGCTGATAATAATGAGCATTGGTATCCCTGTGGGAACAACATTTAATTGTACATCTAACATTGCCAGGATGAGACCTAAAACAGGGCAGTCGCATTCCATTGACTTCCATTCATGCATATGCAAATACAGATCATCCGATCATTCACTACATTTATCTCTTGCTGTTCAAGTTTGCATGACCAGTGAAATTGCATATTGGCAACTCAGCTGAAATGTTGGTAGTTGACAAGACGTTTAGAAGGATGTGACATTTTTGTATGGATTATTATTTATTTATTTTGAATTATTCAAAACAGATGCCCTGGTCTATGACATCATATCCTGTTGCTCACATTCATACCTTGAATTAAATAAATATGCCTGCTTAAAGGGATAAAAATCCTGTTATCTTTGTCAGGGTTACGTCTGTTTAGTGTCATTGTGTTCTGGTCAAGTTCTGATCTGTTCCTGTGTGCCAGTTTTCTCTTCGCTTGTTTGTTTCGATTGAGTCGATTGATTAATTATGCACCTGTTTCTGTTCCAGTTAATTCGCTTTACTCTGTGTATTTAAGTCCTCAGTTCCCTAGGTTATTTGTCCAGTCACGCTTATGTGGGACGTGGCTGTCTATTGTTGCTCTTACGTGTTAAATTTGTGATTAAAGACTGTGATTGTATTCTCCATCATCATCATCCTTCGGATGAGACATTAAACCGAGGTCCTGACTCTCTGTGGTTCCCCTATAGCTATGATCAGCTGTTCGGCCGAGCTTTTGATGTTGTTACGGAAAGGCCGAAGCTGAGCGGTTGGTTTTTGTCACATGACCTGTTGTGATGAGACGTTTTCATTTCGCCACGTCGCTTCTATTATGAGCCGCTTGACCCGTGCCTACAATTGAAATAACAAATTTGCGCGCAAAAAAAAAAGTGGACTCAAGTGCGGTAGTTGTGCTAGGGGTAGCCTACAAGTAACTTTAGCCTACATGAGCACAGTATCGGACCGGCACCCGAGGACTGGTATGTCCATGATCCCTGTTTATGTCATTCATATCAGTCCGACTTAAAAGCAGTTCTAGGCTTATTCTTGGCTGGATAACTCTTAGCAGGTTTAAAAAGCCCTTTTAGAATTAAATATGAGTGCAGTTTTGTATTCAATTCACAGTATTAGTATGGTGTTCCTAATAATCTTTAGGTGAGTGTATACAAATTGGCTTCATCACTCTGTCTCCTCTACACCAGTAAGATGGCCGTCGCATCATCCAGGTGGTGCTGGACAATGGTGGTGGTTGAGGAGATTGCCCCTTCTGTGTAAAGCGCTTTGAGTGCAGAGAAAAGGGCTATATAAATGTAATGAATTATTTTTAAAATTAAAGACCTCCCCTAAACACAAGAACATTCAACCAAACCCTCTTCATTCATCATTTTCGTCTCATTCTATAGACGAATCCGGCGAAACCACCGGAAGTAAGCGGGCGCCATTACTGAGCTGTTGCTGGGTAGCGTTGCGCCATTGCCTCCTATTGTTTTAGTTGCAACTTGCGTCCACTGGAATAAACAGCCCGCGATTTACGACTGTCACTAACGTTACAACGTTACCCCTTGTATAATGTCGAGTGGGTAAACAGTTTCCCTTATAAATTGTTTCAATGGTGGCAGTAAAATTTCAATTTTGTGAATACCCCGGGTCGACTGCCCCTGTCTGGTGCCGTACGTTTTACAGATTTCCTGGGCGAGTACAAGACGTGGACATTCGCGTATAATAACAATTATTTAATGACATGAGTAAAAAAAATATAATAAATATGTGATATAGTGATCAGCAAAATCTCCTCTCTTGCTGTTTTTTCTATTCAATTAACATGCTATGGTCATTAAATGGCTTTCCTGAGCTAAATGTAACGTTATGTGACATAATTGTTTTCCCGCTGTTATATTGACCTCTTTCCATGGTTTAAAAACACTAATTGGTCGATATTATGTATACTTTCTAGCTGTAACGTTACCTTACCCTTGCCTGTTGCAATGTGAAAATGAGATAAATAATGGACACAAATGAAAAACATGAATTTGTTTATTTGATTTAATTCATTTATTTATTTATTGTTGCCAAATGGACAGATCTTTTTATAGTTTCCTCGTTAGCAAACGTTAGCCTAGCTAGCTTGCCAAGCTATTTTCATAAATAACGTTAATCTGTAAGATCGTTTGTACCTTCATCTGTGACTGGAGGCCACTGCAGTCACAGATCAAACCAACAAGTCATTCTGCCTGGCTGTAGCTGTCATCGAGGGTGAGTTCGCGTTATCACCGAGGTTTGTTTACATACCGGTGCATATGTCTATATGCCTGTGTAACAGCTCAGTAATGGCGTCGCCACAAGATGGCAGCCTACACAGAACGCTCGTCGGATTCGTCTATAGCAAACCAAAATATCTTATCCACAAGTTTCCGAGGGGCGCTCCTGTAAAAAATAAAGTGGGTGAAACTTCCGGTGAGGCGGCGGAAGTAGCATTCCAATGGTATTTTGTGTGTTAGTTAGCGAAGAGGCTAGCTGTTTTTCAGAGAATTATTTTACTATTTAAAGACGCAAATCTTTTTGAGAGATGTCGTTACGGAGCTCAGGGACAACATGTGCTGTTCGCGGTTGTATGTATAACCGGACTAAACTAATTTAGTGGCTTAAACGGGATTGTTTTGAACATGAGCTGAAAACGAAATCAGAGTGATCCTGCCAGAGCCCGTCTCTGATCCTGCCAACGACTGTGGTTTCCATCACCTCCCAAAAGACGACGAATCTTCCTGTGTACATTTGTTTAAATTCTTAATATTCTATAAACTCTATCAGCATGTGTTTGGCTGTTCGCTACTGATGTTACATCTAAACTCAGGATCAAAGCCTGTGTTGACAGAATACCAAATATGCCAGTAATGTAAGTAGCACATTCATTTATAATTTTGAATAAACTCCAAAGCACAATGACTAAGTGTGTATTTTTTATTTTAATTGTTTGTCAGCTCACACAACTGTCTGTCACCATGCCTTGATGAGTATTGATTATTAATAATGTTATTATAATACTCCCAATCAACTACTGCGGAGGGTAAAGGTAGTGTTATTTCACCCTTTTTAATTTGGTTGAGGTTGTGTTCCCACATCGTTAGCTAGTTTGGATCGCTATAACTTGAATGACTGTCAACAATTGAATGAACGAGTGTCAAGCATGTCAAATCGCGCTTTGTTTACTTCCAACCGGAAGTCGCGCCCACTTTTGACGCAAGGCCTCATGGGGCGTAGGAAACTTGTGGATAGTCATCCGAAAAAGTACTTAAGCCACACTTTCACATTTTTTTAAATGTCACTGAATTGGCAAACAAAATATCAGGGCAAGTGTGCACAAATATTACAAGAGCTTTTCTCATAACTCATGAGTTTAAAGGGATAGTTCACTTTGAAATTAATTTTTGATATGTTTTATCTTACCTCAAGGGCATCCAAGATGTAGGTGTCTTTGTTTCCACAGTATTTTCAATTTTGGTATTTTTCGGTCAAACCGTTCTTGTCTGTCAGTCATATAATGGAGGTTTAGGGGGTCCACCTCGAAGAGCATGCACAGAGAAGTCCAAATTAAACATGATTTAATGACTCGTCGCAAGCGATCACTTCCGGCGCATGCACAGACCGAAGCGCCCGTGCCCTCAGATCAGTTGGACGTGGCTGTGGTTTCAATAGGTAAAAACGATATAACCGCTTGTTTCGTGTCTTAGGCCATCAATGTGTACTTACATTTACGAGTCATTAAATCATGGTTAATTTGGACTTCTCTGTGCATGATCTTTGAGGTGGACCAAGGGTGGACCCCCTATACATGCATTGTATGACTGATTAAAAAAATTTAAAATACTGTGGAAACAAAGACACCTACATCTTGGATGCCTTTGAGGTAAGCTAAAACATACCAAAAATTAATTTCAAAGTGAACTATCCCTTTAAATCCTCAAGTTCACAGAGGAATCCTAACATATTAAATAACCACAAGTGCAGAGAATCCACTGACAGATAAGTGTCAATTGTTACTGGAGAAAGGAGCCTACCCCAGCCGAGCAGGATGTACCAGTGCAGGCGTTTCTTCTGTGAACGCAGTGAGAGGTTAATGAGGCTGTGGAGATAATGACCTTCCACCAGCAGCCAGCTGTAATTTGCCAGGATGCAGTAATTAGACAGGAACAGTGCCACTTTACAGCCAGGCTGAGGAAAACCCCGGAAACACATCTTAGAGAGCTTATCTGTGCATTTATTTACCACGTGTATGTACAGTCTAATGCATTTATGTCCATGTTTTTGTTGTGTGTGTGTGTGTACCGGATGAGAATTGCAGTGGTAGTACTCCTGTGAGTAATGCAGCGCAGCATCTCTGATGAAGATGAAGATGGCTCTCAGGATGAAGGACAAAAAAAGCTGCATGTGGATAAAGTTACGATTGCAGTGCAGCTTCCTGGAGAGAGATTTAAAGAGAAATTGAGGCCTATAAAACCAATAAAAATGTAACGCATCATGTAAATACAAATGTGTTTAATTTCATCTGGCGTGTGGAATGTTTTTTTCTAAACTTACCCAAATGTAAACGTCAAAATGTTAAACATCTTTATCATCACAACGCCAGCCTGTACAGTGTGACACTTGGCACACCAATGGGAGAAATTCGCGACAGTGTCGGGATACTTTCCATCTTCTCACTCGGAACGACATCTATTTTAACTGTAACTTCTTTTTGGATGATTTACGACTGTTATCACTGACAAATATGTTAACAATGCACTGGGTGAGAGTTTCTCTGCACTTGAGGAGCCGCTCTCTAACTCGAACTGAGAGTAGATTGTGTGTCGCTTTTATGGTTTGTGTGTGTTTAACATGAACTGCAACTTCCTATGTTTTTTTGGTATGGTTACATTGTGTATATAAAAGGTTGTGTACAGTAATAGCAGCAGCTTCACCAAATTTAATATTTTTGCTCAAATTGGTCCTCTGATTAAAATGGATGTGTTTTTTTTTTTCATCTAGTTTTTATGGTGTTTGTTAAAGGAGTAGTTTTTTTTTTTTATTTTAAATTTTGCTGATAATTTACTCACCCCCATGTCATCCAAGATGTCCATGTCTTTCTTTCTTCAGTCGAAAAGAAATTAAGGTTTTTGATGAAAACATTCCAGGATTTTCTCCATTAAATTGACTTCAATGGGAACCAAACGGTTCAAGGTCCAAAAGACAGTTTCAGTGCAAACTGTTCAAAGGGATTTAAACGATTCCAGACGATGAATAAAGGTCTTAAAAATCTTTTTCCAAGTCAATTTGTTCTGTTCGTTTAATGAACCAAATGACTCGGAAAAAGATTCATTCATTTTGATGAACGAGTTCGAACAGGAGAGTCATGAACACGCATCACAGAACAGAGCAAAGTGACCATTGTGCTAATAAAACTTAAACTTTGTTATTTGTTTAAATGGCCGATCATTTTGCTTGATAAGACCCTTATTCATCGTCTGGAATCACTTAAAGCCCTTTGAACAGTTTGCAGTTTGCACTGAAACTCTCATTTGGACCTTGAACCGTTTGGTTCCCATTGAAGTCCATTATATGGAGAAAATCCTGGAATGTTTTCATCAAAAACCTTCATTTCTTTTAGACTGAAGAAAGAAAGACATGGACATCTTGGATGACACGGGGGTGAGTAAATTATCAGCAAAAGTTTTTTTCAAAAGTGAACTACTCCTTTAAGGCAAGTATACTTATTAGTGCATACTTAGAGGTACTCTACTATCCCTTCAGAACACGTCTCACACCATTTGTGCTATGAATATGTATGATACCTTAAAACATGCAGCTTGTTATTTTTTATAAGAGATTGTACTTACAACTTGAGTTTTGCAGCAATAAAACGGGCAAAATAATTATATAGACTCAGTATGGTGTGTTGAAGACTAGGCGCAGGTTGCACTGTTACAGCTTAGCCAGGTTAACCTACGCACTACTAAATATTTTTGCATTGCACAATAAAAAAAAACATCCGAGCAGGCGTAACAGTTAAAATAAATTAGCTCGAGTTTTACTTGACGGACTTCAGTCCTTTAGACGTATATGATAATGTTGCCATTTACACACACTTACATTTTAAGAGAGAGAGCATTATGTGAATTTAACCCTTATGCTGCATTAGGGACATTTTTGGTCTTTTGCAGTTTAAATTTTTTTTGACCATTTTGGCTGTTTTAATGCAAATGGTATGAAATTTGGCAAAATTGTGACTTTTTGGATACATGTAAAAAATGTGATCCCATTTTGCAAAATATGTATAACACACACTGTGTAGATCAAATAGTAACACTCAGCACCATAAAGACCAAAAATGGCCCATTGAAACCCATTAAAACGTTGTTTAAATCTGAGGCTGTCAGTAATACATGAAACATGATTTTTGCACAAACATCCTTTCATTTTGAAGCAAAAGCATTATATTTGCATTATATAGTGTATTCCACCAGATGACGTCACTACATATTTATTCCCTATGGGTGCAAATGCACCTTATTTTAGGCAATAGGCAATGTTTAATAGGTGGCCATTTTTGGTCTCTAACGCGCTAAGTGGGATTTTTTGCAAAGTGGGACTGTGATAATCCAAATCTAAAGTTTTCTCTTTGCATTTAGTTTATTGAAAATAATTGAATTTTTGTGTTTTTTTCTCTTATACAAATCGATGGTTTCGCAAACAAAACTGGTAATTAAAGGGTTAAAATCCTGAAATTGAATACATTTTTGGTAGTTATGATGAGGACTGATGCTGGTTAAAAGATTTAACTTGGTAAAAGTGGAAAATAATAATAAAATATAATATTTTAGGCAATGTTTAATATGTGGCCATTTTTGGTCCTTAATGCACTCAACGGTGTTAAAAATCTAATGCAGCACAAGGGTTAATACATTGTTAGCGTCTCCTCAACACACACCCGTCTTAAACCGCACATGCATCAGTCAAATAAAATCAGCCATAATAAATAAACGTCATTTCTTATGATTTATTTTTTTTTTTGTAGCATTAAGAGTATTTTTTTTACCCTTTTTCATTAAAAAATTGTTTCTGAATGTTTTTACATAGGATAATACCTATTATGTTATTCATGATAAGGTAGCATCTATCGTATTATGATGGAATGGTGAACGGAACTATGTTGGCTAACAATGCTTTTGGGAAACACACCCCTGAATACATTAGCAACTGGATAGCAAGTCTCAGTACTATATTAGTACACTTCTCATAAAACACACACACACATACACAAATACACAAACAAACAGTCTGTTACCTGAACACACACAACACTGTGAGAGCAATGCTGAGAGAGACGAGAGAGATGGCGTATCCCACAGAATACATGATCTTCACATAAAAGAAATACTCGTGTGAGACCAGTCCCTACGAGAAGAGATCGTCACAATATGAAACATCAACATTGTCATATATCTACTGTGTTTCTGTGAATGTTCTTCAGTGGTTAGTGATGTTAAACTGTTGTACAAGCATTTACTGTCTTTCTTTCTTTATTTTTAGGGGGAATTTCATGGTTGTTTGTTTTTTTACCGTTATAAAAAAACATGAGCACAGAAATATATATATATATTTGATATTACCGAGTCGGTGGGGATATGAAAGCTGTCGTTAAGCCCATGGCCACAGGCGAGCTCGTACGGCGGGAACATTTCAGACCAGCCATTCTCCGTGCAGTTTTTCATCACAGCTCCTGCGGACAGACACAAGGAACAAACAACGAGAAACACAATTACAACCCTGTCCAACAGCTCGTCCCCGAGGGCCGACCCAAATCACAAGAATTTATCAAATATATAAGTCACATAATCACATACGTCTCCCATAATCAGTCACTGTGTTGTTCTATAAAGCATACGGTATCATCTAACATGATGAAAAACCCAATACTTAAAAAGTAACACAATCTACTACAGGCCTTCTGTCGTCTGATTGATAATTCATACTATTTTATCAAGTCAAAGTCTCTCAGTATAATTGTACAAACGTCCTCCTTCAGCTCGAGCTTCACGCCTGTCTTTCTTCTGTCAAATCTGCACTGATTTTAATAAAGTGAACATAACTTTTATATTTGTAATATTCCTATGGACTGAATCAACTAAGGTTTACTTGACGCATCTTATTTTAGGAAAATCGTGTTTTTTCTCATTTGATCATCAGGCTTTTGAGGAAGTTATTTGTTCATCTCTGAATCATCACTGTGTATTGCATTATATGTTTCATCATAAAACTAATCATTTAAATATCATAATTACTAAGACATATTGGCAGATATGCAGTTTATATAAGTAGTCACTATACTGTTATAAAGATCTCACTGATGTGCATTACAAGAATCAGAATTTTATTTCACTTTTCGGCCAAATCAATATCAGCATTTGCTCCAAATAACATATTTTTGCTCAGTTTGGGCCTCTGAATCGTACGGAGGCGTATTGCATTCACTTGAAGAAAAAAAATCTACTCTGTTTTTCTGAATTAACGAGTTAATTTTTCATGAGAAAAAAAAAATTGCTCTGTTTTTCTGAATTAATGAGTTAATTTTTCATGAGAAAATTTTTTTTTGCTTTGTTTTTCTGAATTAACGAGTTAATTTTTCATGAGAAAAACATTTTTTTGCTCTGTTTTTCTGAATTAATGAGTTAATTTTTCATGAGAAAAAAAATTGCTCTGTTTTTCTGAATTGAGTTAGTTTTTCTTGAGAAAAAAAGTTTTTGCTATTTTTCTGAATTAATGAGATAATTTTTCATGAGAAAATTTATTTTTGCTGTTTTTCTGAATTAACTCATTAATTCAGAAAAACAGAGCAAAAAAAAATTCCATTAAAAATTAACTCATTAATTCAGAAAAACAGAGCAAAAAAATTTTTCTTGTGAAAAATTAACTCATTAATTCAGAAAAACAGAGCAAAAACTTTTGTTTTCTCATGAAAAATTAACTCATTAATTCAGAAAAACAGAGTAGATTTTTTTTTCTTCAAGTGAATGCAATACGCCTCCGTAGAATCGGGCTTTACAAGATTACAAATATAAAATTCAGGAAGGCTGGTCTGTGAAAACCTAAATGCACTTGACCTTTGACCCGAAGAAAATTGGGGCACGGCCGAGACACAGTCTCTCCCACTTCAGCATGAGGCCAACAGTTCAGATCATCCCATAAAGCACTGCAACCTGTTCAGAGGGGATGGAGGTAAAACAAAATTAGGAGAACAAACAGAGCAACCCACGCACCTAATTATTGCTCTGCTAATTTTCTAAAATGTAAAAATCCCCAATTTGTTGGTTACATAATTGCGGCTTGACTTTTGTCTAATTTTTCAGCACTGCATCACCACCAGGTACAGTCCAACTATACACTCACCTAAAGGATTATTAGGAACACCATACTAATACTGTGTTCGACCCCCTTTCGCCTTCAGAACTGCCTTAATTCAACGTGGCTTTGATTCAACAAGGTGCTGAAAGCATTCTTTAGAAATGTTGGCCCGTATTGATAGGATCGCATCTTGCAGTTGATGGAGATTTGTGGGATGCACATCCAGGACACGAAGCTCCCTTTCCACCACATCCCAAAGATGCTCTATTGGGTTGAGATCTGGTGACTGTGGCGGCCATTTTAGTGCAGTCAACTCATTGACATGTTCAAGAAACCAATTTGAAATGATTCATGGTGTATTATCCTGCTGGAAGTAGCCATCAGAGGATGGGGACATGGTGGCCATAAAGGGATGGACATGGTCAGAAACAATGCTCAGGTTGGCCGTGGCGTTTAAACGATGCCCAATTGGCACTAAGGGGCCTAAAGTGTGCCAAGAAAACATCCCCACCCCATTACACCACCACCAGCAGCCTGCACAGTGCGAACAAGGCATGATGGATCCATGTTCTCATTCTGTTTACGCCAAATTCTGACTCTACCATCTGAACAGAAATCGAGACTCATCAGACCAGGCAACATTTTTCCAGTCTTCAACTGTCCAATTTTGGTGAGCTCTTGCAAATTGTCGCCTCTTATTCCTATTTGTAGTGGAGATGAGTGGTACCCGGTGGGGTCTTCTGCTGTTGTAGTCCATCCGCCTCAAGGTTGTGTGTGTTGTGGCTTTGCTGCATACCTCGGTTGTGACGAGTGGTTATTTCAGTCAAAGTTGCTCTTCTATCAGCTTGAATCAGTCGGCCCATTCTCCTCTGACCTCTCGCATCAACAAGGCATTTTCGCCCACAGGACTGCCCCATACTGGAAGTTTTTCCCTTTTCACACCATTCTTTGTAAACCCTAGAAATGGTTGTGCGTGAAAATCCCAGTAACTGAGCAGATTGTGAAATATTTAGACACCAACAACCATGCCACGCTCAAAATCGCTTAAATCACCTTTCTTTCCCATTCTGACATTCAGTTTGGAGTTCAGGAGATTGTCTTGACCAGGACCACACCCCTAAATGCATTGAAGCAACTGCCATGTGATTGGTTGATTAGATAATTGCATTAATGAGAAATTGAACAGGTGTTCCTAATTATCCTTTAGGTGAGTGTACAGTGCAAATTTCAACCAAATAGGGCGTCCCTAACCACAAAGGAACAAACCTAAATCCTAAATGCTAAATCCATGCAAATTCATTGGTTAATAATAAAGACTGGGAGCTCTAAAGAACATTCAGCACCTAAAACTTCTGGAATCCGGAAATAAAATGTACAGAAAACTATATATATATATATATATATATATATATATATATGTACACAGTATATAGTTTTTTCTTAATATTTACATTGTGTCTTGTTTTGTTTTTTAATGCATTGCCTCCTTGAAATGTATTATGACGGTTTTAATCTGTAAGGTGTCCTTGGGTGCTATGAAAGTATTTCATATGCGCCCACATATAAAATGTATTATTATTATTATATTAAAATAGTTAGTTGTCAATTTCATCAGATTAGGCAGAGGAAACATATTATCCTACATGGGGGGCACTGAATATTGTTGTGGACATTTTGCCAAAAGAGTGGAAGCTGTTACGGGTGACCATACTTTTAGCCATATGGTGTACTTGCATCTCAGCAAATTCATTAAGACTATTAGATTATATCACTAAATTAATTTTCATAAACTAGACCCTTTGTTTATGTAGTTGCCTTTCAGATTGTTCATTTACCCCCGAGCCTTACTAATCAGATAAGAGAAGAGTGTATGAGGATTACTCTTTATCGTTTGCAGTCAAATGCAATCTATTTGCGTTCTTGTACTTCTCTCTCTCTCTCTCTCTCTCTCTCTCTCTCTCTGAATGGCACAATATCTCATTTAGCCCCTTTTGCAGTCTCTGCCTCTCCGTCTGATGAATGGCAGGAAAAGTTGTAAACATTGTCATCGTTTGCCAATGAAATAAAGATAGGAGGCTTTGTGAGCACCTAGAGATCTGCACAGTGTTTTACTGTTATTGTGATGTCTGTGTTGACAGGCCTGTATTGACTGCTTCCTGTGCATGTAAAGGACGGCCATTATTTTGAGAAAGACTTTCTGCTTAGAGTGAGAAACTTAAGCCCTGTTCACACTGACAGTTTTATTGCTGAGAGTGGTCTAGTGTTGGTCATTCCTACTGATGGACGAGCAGTCCAGCAAGCATGTTATGCTACATACCTGCGGTTAGTCACGGATAAGTAGTTTGGCAGTAGTATAAGGTATGGAGTTAATATTGTGCCATAATTAAACAAACAAATCCAGCATTTTTCAAACAAACTCGATCTGCTTTGCAAAGGAAAACTCGACTCGCAAGCAAACAGAAAGTAATGTGCAAGTACAAAGGTCAATTTGAGCGAAAATGCAGAGGAGTAACAAATATCTATTGTGTTTTACAAATATAAATAAATGAGCCTAAATAATAGTTCACAAATTGCATGTAACCTTTGAACAAATACCAAATCTAGTGCATCCAAATGCATATCTGTCTATGATTGTGAGACACTTGCCTTTTTATCAGATCTCTCGGCTCAATTTTTTTTCACAAATGCAGTTGAGCGACTTTCTCTTCTAAAACAGTAGATGGCGCTAAGCTAGGGATTGATTTAGCGCTAGTCTCCCGAGAGAAGCACTGATTTGAAACACGTGCTTGCCTTTTCCTACAGCTGAGGAAAATGAGCTGTGAACAGGTGTGTGTTTTTCTGTCTTACTGTGCGTTCACACCGGACGCGAATAGCGCGTCAAATTCACGTCTACCGCGTCTAGTTTGGCGCTTGACCACTTTGTGTTAATTTGCACGTCAAGAGTGAAATTGTGAAATCGTAAAAACAAAAGTTTGAAGAGAAATTTATGCGCATCACGCGTGTCAGAATCGAAATCCGTTGGCGGCCATTTTTTTATGTCGACCGAGAGAGTCGTCAAGAGATTCAACGCTCTGTATTTTCTCTGGAGAGCAGAACAGCGGTGTGGGGATCATCGTCGCCATATATTTGTGTCCACCGGACCCTTCGGAGGCGAACCGTGTACTTCCGCCTGTCCCGTGCCCAGTTTGATGACCTGTTGTCCTGGATCGGGGATCACCCTCGCCCTCATCCATCTAATCTAGCTGTTATTTATTTTGATGATAAATAGAGCCAGCCTCCAAAAGTTATTAACCTGCCCTGTGATATTTTTCTCTCTCACATCCAGACACGAACTTACGCACATGTATGTTGGTTGTCTTTACAACATAATAATAATATTTCATATAATCTAGATCAGGGGTCTCAAACTCAAATTAACTGGGGGCCGCTGGAGATAGAGTCTGGGTCAGGCCGGGCCGCATCAAGTATTACAAAAAAAAAAAAATTGTATTTAAGTATTCCAAAAATGGAGCACAACTGATCCAATCTTCTCAATCTTTATTATTAACGTTTCTTTTGAACTGTTCCTGAACTGTTTGAACATCCTTTCTGTACATGATTGGTTCTTCATGAGCTGTCCTTCTGACAGTTGAAGTTCATTTTACAAACTTTCTGTCTTTTTCTTATACACAACATCTTCGTGATGATAGTCAAATTTGCTTTTTATTTTCTTTATACAACACTATTATATTGAATGTTTTTTTTTCTTTTTTTTCCTAAAGGCATATTTCCTTTTATTATACTTAGAAAAACAATTACTGCTTTTGAAATACAAATAATTATTTCTACACATGTATATTGTCTCTTTTTTTATTAAAATTACTGACTTTGCACATATCAAAGCAAACCTTCTTATCAACCTGTTGGACCAAGTTCATTACATGAACTAGTTCAAAGTTCAGTTCACAAATTTTAAAATGGACTAGTTAGTTCTTTTTTTCCATATGTTGCTGCGAGCTTCTTTTTTATTAATATGGTATTATTATTGCCACAGCCCATATACAACCACAGATAACAATAATTTTGTCGACGGGCAAAGTTTGCACGGTAAGATTTTCCCATCCTCACCGACCTCATAAAAGCCTTTTAAATGATCTTACGACGCCTCCTCGCTCCTCGGTTCACAGACACTACTAGAATGAACGAGTTCACTGTAACGTTCATCAGGCAGTAATACAGTAGGCTACGTTCAGTTCACGTTCGCCCAAAATATGAACGAGATCATGAACTATATCTTTCATTGAACGCGTTCAGATACAACGCATATTACAAGCTCAAAATGATTATTCTCACATTGTTTCAGAGCAGGGGTATCCAACACGTCGCTCGCGAGCTGTGGCCTGATTTGGTGGTGGTAGCTCGCCTTGTTCACATATCGCGCTCACATATTTTGCACGCTCAAGTACGTACGTTTCAGATGTAGGCGCGCATCAAGCGCCCTAATTGAAGCGACGCGCTCATTTTTTCCAGGCGCAGTATATTTGTACTTCGTGGTTGTCTATGACAACTGACAACAAACCCACCGTAAGCTGTCACGAGACTATATATGGTAGCCCATAAGGGATAAAAATATTAATAATAAAAAAACGCGGCAAACGCAATGGCGGGCCGCACTAACATTAAACTTTAATATCAAGTAGGGGGCCACAAAATATCATCCCGCGGGCCGCAAATGGCCCGCGGGCCGCGAGTTTGAGACCTCTGATCTAGATAATATTCCATATAATATGGAATAAATAATATTCAATACAAAATAAGCATGTCTCGTATATAGAAATAAAGTTTTAAGTGATAAAATATTTGCTTTGTTGTGCATTAGAACCACACCAGGCATTTAGTCATATTACAAAATAATTTATTGAAGCATCCAGATCCTTCACCACGTGAGCAAGCAGCTAGGCTCCTGATTGGTTAACGCGGCGCGAATTGACGGCAAAGTTCAGATTTTTCAACTCGGGCAACAAACGTGTGAATGCACAAACAGAACTAACTAAATCATTTGCGCGAATGCGCTTAACGCGCCAGACGCTCATTTCGCGCCATTCCGCTTCACGCATCTACCGCGCCGCAGGAATTTTTTACGTGCGCAACACGTCTTTGCATTGACTTAACATTGAAATCTATTCGCTATTCGCGTCTGGTGTGAACGCACCATTACTGTCAGTGTTAGGGAGTAGTTAACTACAAGTAGCGACACTACTAAATTAACAACATTTTTCAGTAGCTTGGCAGTAGCTCAGTTGCTTTTTAAACAGTGTAGCTTTTCCAGTAGCTAACTACTTTTTGCAGAAAGTAGCGGTGTAGCGCAAGCAAAAGCTACATTGCGTTTGTCGAGCCTGCGCGATGCAGCGCGATGCAAGGATATTCTTCTTCGTGTTAGATTACAAACTAATTTTTTGCCATTACCGCCACCTGTTGTCTAATCACGCATCTTGCGGCTAACGGTTCTCTGACGTACAGAAGTGGGTTGACACACCCATATCATGATTATATAACAAGACGAGATGGCAGATTTGGAGGATGGAGAAACAACTAACGCTAAAAGGGTCATGAACTGGCTTTTTAATCTTTTTTATATTGTTGTCTGAGGTCAACTTATGATGTTCGCTTGGTTTTTACATTAAAAAACATCAAAATGAATAAGTAATAGGCTATTTTCTACCCTAGTTTTGAGCCTTCCTAAAAAACACTCGGTTTTTATGGGCGTCTCGCACTGAAGACTTGGAAGTAAACGCCCACTGCTGTGAGTGGATAACAGTTTTGCATATTATAATGAGTTTCACTCTCGATTCGGTTTGTCATCACGAGGTAGGCATCTATGTTATTTAGCTATGCGTGTAATGCACGAATCGGTGGGCGGGGCTAAACCGGCCGTGTTGAAGTAGCCATTGATCTTCTTCTGCGGGGTGGTGTTTTATCCTCTTTGACGTCATAGTTCCCCACGAGTCGTTTGCTGGGGCTGGTGTCAATAAAAGCTTTTATTGGACTAACAACAAGGACGTTTTCAGTTCTGAAACTTACAGGATATTCTTATAATATGAGGACCTCTTAGACGTCAAAAGCTCAAGGAAAATTTGATTTCACAGTTCATCACCCCTTTAATTACCCATGGCCTTATTTGTCCAAGTTCAATCGGTATTTTTGAGAAAATGTTCTGCAATTTCCGTTGTATGTGTATTTTGTTCTTGCAATGTTGTAGGCTATTTGTTGCAATTTTGCACTTTTGACAAACAGTCTGAGATATTTGAGTGTTGTGTGTATACTCTTTGAAATCATAATTGTATGGCATTGTTTTAAACACTAAATATTTTGCTTAAAACATTCCTCAGACACTTATTCAGTTATTTCTAATAAACGTTGTTCAAAAATCAAAAGTAGTTTCAATGTAGCTAGCTACTTTTTGATAGTAACTTGTAGTGTAGCTAACTACTTTTCCAAAAGGGTAGCTTTAACTTACGAGTAGCTTGTAGCTTGTCAAACTACAGTTTCAGAGTAGCTTCCCCAACACTGCTTACTGTATCTACAATTAACTTGTTTGAGGTTTTCTTTTGCAAAACGTGTATTACATATCTAGACAGAAATCCACATTAGTAGCACTTCAATCTCTCTAGGATAGGGGAATCTATAAGCTCTGCCATCATATGTTAGCGGTCTAAGCATTACATGCTAATAATGTTTGGTTTACAAAACATGCTGTAAGCAGTCGACCAATCACAACAGAGTAGGCCATCTAACCAATCAGAAGACAGACTCTCGGAAAGGCTGTGTTTAGAAAGACTGAATCAACGTAGTAATAAATATATTTATACATTTAAATGATTGTCAATACATTCATTTAAATATTACATATTTTCATGATTTGTAATCACAACATTTTTTTCTTTTGTCAAATCAACTTAAATAATTTATGTAGTTCATATAACATGATATTTTGAGTTTCTGGTGATTAAATCAATCTCCTTCATTCTATTATCTCAATTTTTCCATTTCAATGAACTTAAAATTTTAAGGCAACCAGGTTACTTACTTTTTTAAGTTAAACCGACAATATTTGTTACAGCGTATAGGCAATGTTTAATTCACTGGAAGTTGGGAAGTCTGTTGCCAATAGACGTATATACAACTATATCAGATATAGGATTGCTCATTTGATATTTGCAGATTGTCATTGATCAGTTTCAGAAAGTTGCATCATCCGCAACACTCACAATCATGTTATAATGTGGACAATTCCTGACACTTGCTCTCGGTCCGATGAATTTGTCTCCATCTTGCCTACACTCAACTACAGTATCTTACATGAGATGGGTCATGTGAGCTCCACGTTCTTCACTCCTATTGGTAGTTACCATTGCTGCTCATTTGCATAAAGTTAAACTTTTCTCAACTTTGTTGTGTTGCTGGATGCACCCACACTGCAAAACCAATGATCGCTGTTGCACCATAAATCACCAACTCTCATTGATTCTCATTGACTTCCAATTGCTTAGTCCAAATCACTGTACGTGTAAATGGATTATTGAGTTTTAGACTTTATGATACTGTCACTTAAATACACACACACACACCCTCTCTCTCAACTGAACATGTATCCCGAGTAGGCAATAGTTGTGCCAGTGTTAGACCAGTGTACACTGCGCTGAATGATGTTATATATCTATAATCTGATAAGGCTGTGATTTATGGAGTATGGATTATGGAGGCCATTCTCCAAACTTCCCCCCAGATATCACATTACAACTCCTAGGAACACACATTATCATTTTGTTTGTCCACATAAACAACAAGTATAAAAAGCATTAGGTGTATTGATGTGTATGGAGCAGGCTTGTGGAAAACACTCTGACCATATCGAAAATAGCTGCCCTCTATATGAACTCAATCTTCTCATTAAGTGTTTGTGTGTATGAGAGAGAGAGTTAATGCAATGGCTCGCCTGTGTGTGTGGACCCGGTGTCTGTCAGGTTCTCTTGATGGATGATTTGGAAGCAGTCTTCCTCCTCTCTGAGTAGCATAAACTCTAGATCACATTCTGGCGGGATGGCACACACCTTCACACACACACACTTGTCTTTCAATCAAACCCGAACCAAACATTATTAACTACATTACAAAGGAAAATATCTGTACAGCAGTTATCAATATTAATCTCAACATTTACACATGTTTAAGTGTCATGCACTGTGAACTAATAATTAACATGAAACATTGTATTAACTAACATCAAAGAAGGTTAATAAAATGCAGTAAAAATACATTGTTCGTAGTTAATGTAAGTTAATGCATAAACTGTTAACACGAGAAATGTGTCAACCAAACCACCTAGGAAGCAAGCCTTCAGAAATGAAATATAAAATATAATGCAAAATGCAATAATATATTTCTCGGGACAAGCGGCTTTTGTAAATTCAAGTCAAGTTGTCACACGTTTTGTATGCTGTAATTTAATACTATTTATTGATCAAATATAGGTGAGGACAATTGTTTGATATATTTCACACTTAAAATGCTGAGTTGTTTCAACCCAAATTTGGGTCAAATATGGACAAACCCAATAAATGTCGGGTTAAAAAATGCAATTCAAAAATATACAGTTAAAAATTGAAAGTTGAAGTTGGGTTAAAATTTTAAATGACATTTTCAACCCAACATTTGGGTTTGTCCATTACCCAAATTTGGGTTAAAACAACCCATGAAATGTTTTGCGTTTATAGCAACAAACAAGCTACAATTACCTCATAACGTGATATATGCCCCATATCTTAACTGTAAAATACTTGATTTAATATAAAACAGTTTCTGTAATGCGTCACCTGTGTGTTCATCTGAACTCACGTGAGAATAGACGTCAAGTAAACCCGCGAAAGCAAGGTGTAAAACGGCAGAAATCTTCATTTACAGATCTTCTGACGGCAGAACTCGACAGCAACCCAATAATCCCGGTCTCCTGACGGACAGATCTCCAGCTCGGTCCCTCTGAAGGAGAGTTTAATCGCCTCACGCATTCCTTGACGCTCGAGCGCCGTGAACAGACATGAGTGTGCGCGCGATGCGTCCGGTCAAACTCAGCACGTGAACGACTGATGATGATCCACACACACTTCATCTGACATCTCCTCCAAACATCTTTCTGACTATTAACTGCGCTCAGATGCGTCTCTCAGCACAACCTAACTCTCTGCTGCACTCATCAATCAGAACAGTCTGCTGTGAAACGTCTCGCAAATGCACTTTAAAGCAAGAAATCTCAATTTTCCAGGTAATTGCAGATTTGTAATTAGGATACTTACCAGATTTGTTGCTACATTTTCTGAACAAACATTTTGTGGTGCGTTTTAACCCTCCATGCAATTGCTAAGGTGTTCTGGGGTGCTAGGATTTCTGGATAAATGGAATTATGGGATATTCCAGAATAACATTTATTTTACCCCGCTGACTTTCTTTTGCTTGGACCTATTTTTTATTTTTTTACATTTTTCTTCCATGTATATGGAATGGAATTTTCTTTTTTCCATTTTACATTTCACAAATAATTATAAAGGAACTGATTAAACATCAACCTATTAAGTAGAACTAGTGAAATACTATTTAATGTAAAACACAGTAATCATTGTTTTATTTACATGTGCTAAAAGTGAGTGGGCAAGAAAATACTGTTCAATTGCAGACGTTATAGAGATAAGATAAGTTAGATAAACTCAATGTAATTGAGGCAATCTATTGCCTAAAAAATTTTAAGTTTTGAGTCACATGTTTTTAAGTAAACAAACTCAACATATTTGAATAATGTGTACTTAAAACAATGACAATACAAAGCAATAAAAATTGAGTTTTGTAAACATAAAATTGGTTGTGTACTAAGTTCTGTGAAAACTAAAAACTTTGTTATAATAACTGAAAATAAAACTGTAAGTCATATTAACTGCAAATATTTGAGTTGAGCTAAATGAGCACTTTAATTTACCTGTTATCAAAAGGTACAAGTAGCAGGTAATCCAACCTTTTAAGTTCTGGAAAATTGTGACTTTTAAGTGAATGAACTTAAAAAATTTGAGGCGATCGATTGCCTCGAATTTTTTGAGTTCTGGGAACTTATTCGGGTTTACAGTGCATCGAAAAATTCAGTTTTTAACAGTGCATCCATTTAAAGGGGTCATGAAATTTGACATATAAGATGTCATTGTAAATTTCAGAACCCAAAACTTCCTCGTTAGTATAAAAACTGCTTTTTTTTAATCAAGCTCTAACCCACTGATGTCACATGGACTACTTTGATGATGTCTTTATTTCCTTCCTGGACAAGGACAGTATACCGTACACACATTTGCAATGGAGGGACAGAAAGCTCTCAGACTAAATCTAAAATATCTTAAACTGTGTTCTGAAGATGAACTGATTTTTACGAAACACACTTAAACTTTATTTGCCACAAGAAAGCAAATGAAATACGCATAAATGTTTCACATTGTTGCCCAATGTTTTAACTATGCAAAAGATATTTTTGCATAAAAAGTCTTCAAAACAATTACACGCGTGCAAAGGCGGGGTCGTTAAAAATATGCAATTTTAATATGCAAAACTGCTACCCAATAACAGCAGCGGGTGTTAATTTCCAAGTCTTAAATGCGACACTGCCCATCAGAGCAAAAGTGTTCGAAAGAGAGGCTCAAAAACAGGATAGAAAAGAGAATAAGAATAAAATTAAAAATGGACCATAGAGAACTTGATCAAGTGTTAAAATCCCCCTGTAGTCAATAATTGAGACTCATCTTTGTTCATCAAAATGACATATTTAAACGTTATTTCCTTGAAAAAAAATTCTTCATGCCTTAAACTAGCTTGAATGTAACTCGACACCCTTGCCTCATTTAGTATAGGCGGTTCTATGAATATGCAAATGAGCCCCGCCTCCATTCATTGTGTTCACTGCGGTTTTAAGGAAGAAATACTCAGCAATGCTGCCGACTTATGAACTTACACATGGTTTGACTTAAAGCATATTAAAAACACCACATAGACACATAAACAACATTAAAAGCTGGATTTTCTAAAATGCAGTTCATGACTCCTTTAAGGATGAGCAATAATTGTCATATTAAGCACCTCAAACAATCTCAGTGCTTTACTTAATTAATTAATAATTTACATTAATATGCAACGAGTGACTGTCTTTATGAGTGATTCATTGAATCATGTACTCAACAGTTCGTTTAAAAACTGATTCATGCCAGAACAAACCATGAGCCTTTGCAAAAACAGATAACGTGGCAATATTGGCATTAATATTTAAATCAGGTTGTTATAAAAGTAACATCACATAATAATCATGATTTTGGTCATGATTTGGAGTTACGTTCCAGTTCTTTGGTTTTAAATCACGTCAGCATATTATTTCCTGTGCTACAGGAAGTGATGCGTTTCACTGAGAGCACTTAGTGTCAATAACTCAAATGGTGAGAGATTAAACAACAATTTAATTAATGATTAAACAATCCCCCCTTCTCTCTCTCATGTTCAAGAAGCGATGAGTCACTTATATCACCCATTTCAGCAGATTCATGCAGATAAACCCTTATTGCTCTTCACAAAGCCATGCTTTCTAATATTCAGCCAGCGGAGCGTCGCTGACAGCCGTGTGTGGTGTTGCTGAGATCTTCCTCTTGCCATATTTGGAAATACAGAAACATTTGGAGCATATTATGATAGAAAGATGTTTATGTAAGCTCTCAATAAGTGCTGCTTTGACTCTCAATGTAGGACAACAGGATGTTCACGGATACGTTTTGGTGGCGAGAAATGTACCTTAGTCAAACGCTTCCCAGGTCCCACACACACACACACACACAGGCCTGCAGTATGCGGAAGTCTGTAGATTAATGTCTGCTGTGCTTCTGCAAACTGACGTGTGTTGTCAATCTGTGATTAATGAGGTGCTTTTTATTGACTTGATAAGATTATTCTCACCAGATAAAAGTGTGTCTGTGTGTGAACGTTTTCACCATGAAAGTAAACGAGATCAGGTCCTGCACTGCTTCCTGTGATCGCTTTGCCATCTGTGCTCACCTGTGGCACGAGTGCAATCAAACAGCATCTGTGAAGCCATGTGGGTTCATTGTCTGCTTTTCCTTGCGAATTCTTCAACACTTATACTTGTACACCACAAAAAGTATTCAGACATTTAAATGGTTAGATGCACTCTTGAAACGTGCAATGTTTTGACTGGGTCCCAATTCGCCTACTCATACTATGCCCTACTCTTTTTGTGAATCCTCCATTCAATCTAATATAATTTCCTACCGTTTCGGAGCACGTTGATCTGCCAGTCGTGGGTTTTTCATGCGGACGTAACTCTCTGCTTTGCAATTTGAATGTAATGATGCATTTAAAAAATAAGGGCTAAACGTATCTTTACAAAAGTTCACAATGCTGCTGCAGATGCAATAAAAAGTAGCCAACATTGAATAAATGCATTTTCGTCAGGTTAGATAATGAAAATGAATCACTGAAACCCCTTTATCTAAACCTCTCTACATAACAGCCGGACTTGTGCGTCCTCCATGTCTGTAGTTTTTTTTACACTTTTTTCACTCGTGTTTGTAGTTCTAACTGACCCTGATAGCACACTTCTATTTGATGTGTGTGTTTACATCTGGAAGATGTATTTTTTAGAGTGTTTGCTCATCTGCAATACGTCTATAGGACGTTTCCTGTCAGATGTCAAATAGATGTTTAGAAGATGTCTTTAAGATGTAATGATTTAGAATGTATGTTAAACTGACGTCTTAAAGATGTCTCAGATGCTTTTCAAGGACTTTAAATTAGGACTTTAAGGACTGTTTTTTAAACTTAGAACATTTAATATTTTTTCACTTTAAAATTAATTATAATAATTAAGTCATTTACATGTGCTTCAATTGATTTGACATCATTACTGAAATAAGAACTACAGACAACACTTGAAGACAACCGACTTTATACATCGACCACTAGGTCACCGGGTTTTGGTTAAAATTTGATTCAAAACATAAGATAATAACCTATGAGCGCAGATTCCCCTGGCTTTGATGTTTTGTTTTTTAACACAATGACCTTCAGAATATCCATACTTTATTCGCACGAAGACAAACCCAAACAGCATGATGATGTTTTGTCACACCTGAGAGTTCATTTTATGGTGCGATAATTTCCACAGACAAGATGAGCTCTCACTGTAAACATAGCTGATGCCATGGTTGTAACTGTCATAGATACAGTCGGTTGGTCTGGGAACGCCCCCGGGAACGCCCCGTCACGTGGTGTGAATTTAGCCCGTGGGGGAAAACATTGCCTTGGCGCTCATTGAAATACATGGGACAATCATGCCGAAGAGTTGCGGTGTCGTTTTCTGTACCACAAATAAACAAACAAATTATAAATTGAAGTTCTACAGCCTTTCTTACATACATACAGAACCGGATAGGAGGACAAAATGGCAAAATTAATCATATCTTATTAGATTACTGTGTGAGTAGAGGTCCGTGTGATATAGTAGTAGATGTTTAACTCGTATTAGGCAGTGGGCCAGATTTGTCTGACGTTACATCCCTTACGAAAAAGAACTATAGTAATCCTATGGCTATTACTATTCTATAGTAGTGTATAATACTTCTGTGATGTTCATTAATACCTATACTTCTAGGCTATGTCCCAAAATACTATAGTATTCCTATAGGATTAACGTTACTACTATAATATTTTGTCCTAAATACTACAAGATTCCTTTAGTTGTTTTTCATAAGGGATGTTATTAGCGTTATCAGCTGAAGGTTATCAGACAGTCTGTGAGAATTCGGATAACTGTCAGCAAAGTCCCTCTGCAACTTCGTAGCGACTACTAATGATCACCGTTTTACAAAAGGATTAATAGTTTGGAGTGAAGCATACGTACAATTGGTAAGTGACATGGTTTTATGGACTTATAGTAAAAATACGCAAGTTGATTGAGTTACAGGCTTGTGTTGCCGGTAGCTTCCGCGATGTCTTACCTGAAGATTCAACCAGATATAATAGTCTGGAAACGACACCTCCGGCCATTTGTTGGGTCATTGACCCAGTTTTTAATTAAATAAGGGCAATCATAACCTATTA